TGGGTTCTTCTGCCTATTCTTGCATTTGTGAAGTTTAATAGCAAATTGTCTAAAACAGTGTGGTGGTATCACATCTGATTTTTAAATTAAGCTTCTAGAAAGAATAGGAGTTGTCTTTCCATTTGTTAGAAAATGCTCCTGCATCTGTCAGGACTGTCAAATTACATTTTAAAATGTACTTGTTTTTCAACCACTTCGGCAACTGTATTGCACTTTCAGGAATGTGAAACCACACTGGAAATCAAATTTGTCACATTTTCTGCAGGAGAAAGACCAACATCTTACATGCTAATCTCAGAGGGTAAGTGATGTTTTAAAAGCCTATAGCTGATTGACCAATGCCTTTGATGAAGTTTTTATCAATGTCAGCTGCAGAGGGATGCTTTGGGCAGCCAGGAAATGCCAGAGATAGGGGATTATTTTCTTTTTTGGATCTTCCTCTCAGTGCTCTGCAGGAAGCCAGATCTTTCCCACCTAAGCCATAAAATTTCTTGAGAAAGATAAACAGCTCCTCTCTTCTTGAAGAGAGGGGAAGGGGAGGCCAGCATAACTGATGGAACCAATGAGTCGAGACAGAAACTTTCAAGGATACTGGGAAAGAGAAAAAAGGAAGTGAGTACATCAGGCTTTGTAGGCAGGACAGCCAAGTCCCTATCATGGAATAATCACACGTTGTCTGTATTGCACGTACCCGCTCACCTTCCTACCCTCACACACATGCATGTAAAGGAGGCCAGAAAATAATCGACCAAGACACAGAGGAAAAAGAACTGAGACAGAACAAACACTCTGACTCAGCCACCCCAGCCAGAGAATCCTTCCCAAGCGCTCCTTAAAAATCACTGGGTGTTCAAAACGCAAAGCATCTGACACATTAGTTTTCCAATTATTTTTAAGATTCAACTATTTAGAAAATTTTACCCTTTATCGCATCTATAATTATTTTGAGACTATTCTTTACTAAAAGTCCTATTTTTAGAACCTAATAAGGTTATATGAAAAAAATGCAAATCTCGTTAGGTCCTACTGCCCATTAGTCCTAGGACTATCGATGGGCAGCACACACCAAGTTTATCGGCACCCATTCTATCTGGAGAAAGGAACGGGTAATGACTACACAACTGACACCCCAAACAGAGACGCCGCCTCCAAACCTCACCAGATCTCACGCAGGTGAAATAACTCACCTGGAGGTCAGGCACAGTGGGACGTGGGGGCGCTCGCTAGGCCTAGGCCCAAAGTTGGGCAGTTGTATGAAGCCTGGGTCAGGGGACCACCCAAAGAGGCTGACCTCACTTCTAGAGCGAGATCTGCTCCTCATTTACTGTGTGACCAAAGGCAAACCCTTGCTGTGTCTTGTTTTACCCTTCTGAGCTATCAAGTGACAATGATGATTTGTGCCCTGTGTACTTTACTGGAATGGACCAAGATGGGATGATAATGTGAGAATGCATTACAGAGAATGAAAAGCGTTATTGAAATGCGAGAGTGACTCAGTGAGTGTGGCGTCCAGCTCTCTTCACTGTCTTAATTAGGAACAATTAAACAGCTTTCGAACGTATTTGTCATGATTTTAAAAAGGCTCCCCTCAGCGGCTGAGTCACCCTTCCAGCCAGGCTGCACGTATGCTAGATCATTTTAAAGGGCTCGACAACCTGTGCTCTACCAGCTGAAACAACTCCCGACCCTCCCTCCACCTGGCCATCAGGCTTTGGAAGGAGGACAGGGCTGGCACGGGGCCGGCAGGGCAGACGGCTGTTGAGTCAAAGGGAAAAAGTTCCTGTCATTTTGGAAAAGATTCTGTAGACTCGGAGAAGTCCTATCTGTTATATTTAACTGGGGAGCCAATCTAATTACAGAAAACCTCACATGTATGTCTGTCCCATTTGGTGTAAGCATAGTTGTTCCCTGAGTTCATGCCCATGAATAGTAAGCATCTTTTGAGTAATTCAATACTTGGGAGTATTTTGCGGCATGGAGGCTGGTGAAGTGCTTCTCCTACACAAAAGCCCCAAGTGAAATCTCAAGCAGATGAGAACACAATCAGCAACCTGGGCTGCAACCATGAACACCATGCGCACACCAGGAACTCTGCTCTTGCCGAACCTTTTGGTCTTAGGCTGGCTTCAAGTAATCAGAGCCCAGGAGGGACTGGAGAGGCCCCTGGGGCTCCTTCCCAGCCTGGGGGAAGCATTTCTTTCCCCAAGTCTGTCATTTCTGGACCAGGCTTTCCCTTATTTCAGTCTCTTAGACATGGAAGGCAGAGTTCTTATTTGCTGTTAGGTTCAGGCGTGGGTGAGCAGGTGGGGGCTATCCAATTGTTCTTGAAGCTCTCTGTTCTTTCCTGCTAGGGGGGCCAGCCCAGAGGGGGTCACCTTTACCTGTTTAGGGTACTTCAGGTCACCTAGTCATTAGAGGGACCAGAGCAGTGAGGCGGCCTTCCCAGGGCCTGCCACCTGGCCTGCCCTGTCTTGGAGCTGCCAGTCTTATTGTAGGCGGTTGCTTGAGAGCACAGGCCTCTGGCGCCATCCGTGCTGAGCAGCTTGCTCCCCCCGTCTCCTTGGTGCCCCGTGAGGCTTCCCTACCTCAGCTCCCATCCCTTCTTCCTCTCTCCAAGACGTCCCCAAAGGCCCCAACACTCTCTCTCATGGTGCCTCCCCTGATTTGGTTTCTCCACCCGCCTGCCTGTCCTTATGGAAGTAACAGGGCTGTTCCTGACTTGAAGTTACACACAGGTGCAGAGATGGCCTCCCACGGCGTCCAGCCTTCCAGCACCTATGATTCGAAGGTGAAGAGTGGCGAGAGGCTCACGTCACAGGGCAGGGCAGCAAGGACAGGACATTTGGCCTGGCGCAGGGGAAGCCGGGAATGGAGCCCAGGCCATCATCAGGCTCTAGGTGTGCACACACGTTGCTAGGGGGATGGGCAGGATGGCAGCCCTGAGCTGAACCGGGCAACAGAGAGAACGGAGATCCTGGCATTTAGATGAACCTACTAAAAACTTGGTTTTAGTTAGAAAAACACTACCAAGTACGTGGCTTCTAGTCTTCCTTCAAGGACCTCCTCGGTTATTCTATGAAACACAAAATATAAAATCTACTTCTCAGCAATGGTGTTTGATTGCCTCTGCTGTCTTCGTTTGCTGCACGCTGACCATGGCCCTCTCGTGGGCTCTCAGTTGTTCGCTGGTAACTTCCAAGTTTCTACCCCCCGGTAGATGCACACGTCTGGGCCCGGGGAAGTGCTCTGATGTCACCACATTCAGAACTGGGAGCTGTGTTTCTGGCAGCCCTCATGCAGGTGCCCAGTCACGTGCTTAGGCAGCGGCCTGTGTTCCTTTGTGCCCCTCCCTTTCCAACAAGAGCCCACTTACTTCTTCCCACTTCCCCAGATCATCTCTCACCTGCACTGTGATGCTCTCAAAACCGGTGCCCGCTCCCAGCCCTGCTGCCTTTAAACAAGTAGGAAGAACCTTCTAAAGTACACACAATGGACAATGGGTCTTCAAGATGTTTATGGGAAATGCATGACTTCCAAAACAAATGTCTTTGCACCAAAACAAACTAAATTCCATTTTCCATGAATTGTTTGAAGTTCCCTCAGATTGAATCCTATCACCCTTTGGCTTGTGAAGTTTCTAATAGTTCCCCCATTTTTCCTGATGGGATCCAGGTCAGATTCTTTCCACGATTTATTTCTATGTTCTCCTACTATTTCTCCAGACCAACACAATCTCTGCCATTTCACCCACTGGGAGCAACTGATAATTATCTCCGAGGAGTTCTCGCTTAATGTCACTCTCTTTTTTCACAGGCCACACACACTGCTGAAAATTAGAGGGCTGGGTCCAGTTCAAAGGCTTCAGCTGGACCGAGCGCCCAGCCAGGAGTTCTCCATCTGCAGCCGATTAGCCCTCCTGATGGCATTTTGTTATTCTCCTTGCACCAGAAAAAAACAAACAGATGCCGCTCCCACAGCCTCTGCCTTCCCCCATGTCATAGAGGTTGGCTCCCAGGTGACCCCCTGCGACCCTGTGGAGCTCCTTCCTGGGCAGCCGCCCTCCCCTCCCTGTTGTCCTGTCTCATCACAGCCCTAGGTTTCTGGGTCTTTTTTACCCTGACAAACCGCCCCAGGCTCTGTCCCTCTCCCCTTGTCTTGGCGATGGTCTTTCAAGGTCCCAGACCCAGCTGCCTGCAGCTTCTAGGACCCTCGGTCGGTATGGGACACCTTCAGTATCGGTGCTGGGGACAACCTCAGCTTTATTTTTTTTTAATTTTTATTTATTTATTTATTTATTTTTGACAGGCAGAGTGGACAGTGAGAGAGAGAGACAGAGAGAAAGGTCTTCCATTGCCGTTGGTTCACCCTCCAATGGCCGCCACGGCCGGCGCACCGCGCTGATCCGAAGCCAGGAGCCAGGTGCTTCTCCTGGTCTCCCATGGGGTGCAGGGCCCAAGCACTTGGGCCATCCTCCACTGCACTCCCTGGCCACAGCAGAGAGCTGGCCTGGAAGAGGGGCAACCGGGACAGAATCCAGCGCCCCTACCGGGACTAGAACCCAGTGTGCCGGCACCTCAAGGCGGAGGATTAGCCTACTGAGCCGCGGCGCCGGCGACAACCTCAGCTTTAGACAGTGGCTTGCAGCAAGATTCCTGCCCTGGCTCCCACAGCTCCAGCAGCCGACTCAGGCATGACTTGGGGTTCAACCAACCTCCCTGTATTTTCGCCCAGTCTCTTACCCAAGGCTCTTCTAGTAAACATAACCCAGGTGAAAGCAGTGAGCTTGCAATGCAAGCCCAGTTCCCCTTCCAAACAGCCCACCCCCCTTATGCCTCCATAAGTTTTTGGAATTGCCAATCACTGACTATCAATTAGGAGGTGCTTGATTTTCAACATTTGGTTTTCCTCAAGGAACTTGTACCATCTCTGGGACTGCCCAGAGGGAGCAAGTTCATTTGGCACATCACCAGGTGAACAGCTTCTAGCTGTTTCTCAGTTACCTTGTGTCCAGTGAAGCACAGATCAAGGCCCATTCATTCCAGTGTCTCTGTCCAACGCTGCAGCACCAGATGCATGCGGCCATTTGAAATGTGGCCAGTGTGAGTTGACATGTCCTGTAAACCCAAGATACACTCTGGATTTTGAAGACTTAAGTGTTAAGAAGCTGAAAATTTGATAATTGATTATAGGTTGAAATGACCCTTTGGATATGAATTAGAAATTATAATTACCATTACACATCACCAATATGCCTGCTGCATAGCTCTGGACTAGCCCGTGGCTCAAAGCAAAGTCTCACAAGTCCTTACTGTACGCTATAAAGAAGGGCAGTGTTGCTGTGTATTTCTCTAGTCACCCACCTCCCTATCTCCTCAATGCCTAGATCAGTCATTAGAAGGACTTACAATAACCACCCTCCTTCCTTTTTCACATTGTCCCCAGCCAGCAATAGGGCAAGTATGCAAATTTCACCCTAGGGGCAGACACAGATATCTGAGTCCCAGTAGGGACTGAGTTAACAGAGCTTTCTCTTTTTCTCTTCTCATGCTTCTCCCGAGGAGGCAGACAGAGGATAAAACACTGCGGAATTCCTCAGAGCTTAAAACCACACACCAGCAACATCTAGTCACCAGCATTGCACCGTTATAACAAACAGCAATCCTGAAAAAGCAAACCTACTTGGCGGCTAGCCATTCATCACTGAGAACTTGGTTACCCCTTTAGAGGGCTAAACATCAGATATTTCACTGTCATCAAGTCTGGGAGAATATTTATGCTACACTTGGACCAGTGCCCAGTGACTGAGTAGTAAGAAAGTCATTAATCTGGATTGTGTTTTCAAGCCTGAATCAATGAAAATCCTGTTTAAACTGAGATTATCCTTAGTCGACGGTGCTCATTACCTCTTATTAGTTTGAGAGACACAAGAATTTCTCATTTATAAAATGTGCTTATTAAAGAAAACTCTCAGCAAGGCATGGGGTTGGCCTTGATAATAATTTTTCCTAAGAGAACTTAAATCAGGACCCAAGTAATGCACTGAAGGTCGCTCATGCACCTACAGTCCCAGCTTTGATCTCTGTTTAACTTCACAAGGAGAAAAAATGCAGCTCTGGGGTCGTGAGATTGCTCAGGAACCGTCAGTTCCTTGGGCTTCTGGAGGCCCTCCCCTGCCCTTCTCGCTGGATATTTAAAGCAGGTGTCAACACATCCATGATGAATGATTAGCAACTCTGGGCTGTGAACTGTTTTCATCCTTTCTTGGCTGTATTTGGATTTGGACCCACTTCATAACCCCAAACATGATTTCGCTAGAAAGAATACCAAACACTCAAACAGAAAAGGGCAGCTGTCTCTCTGCACAATAAGGAAGCTCCTAAGGATGAGCTGATTCTAGCTTCAGGCCAATTGAACCCTGATGCTATTGAGAAAAACCGTAAAGCAGTGGTAGTGACTCATGAATTTCTAACCGCTGAAGTTGAATTCTACGAGCTGCTGTTTATCTGTCTGGTATTTTACTGACATGAATGGAAAACCGAAGAGCACGCTACATAAGACAAAGTGCTTTTCAGGCAGAATCTATACTCTTTACCTCTCTGTCCTTTGCTTTTATCTTGCGCAGGCGGTAGGATTTTTCCAGGACCAATCCAGACGATCTGATGCCCCGCTAAATGCTGCGACTTGTGAGCGAGCGGGATGAGATCTGGCTCTGTGGCTGTTCACCCCCGGAGATCAGCCAGGTGGGCCTAGTCTAGTCAAGTAAGCCTTGGAAGGCAGAGGACTTTCTACACCAGGTGGTGGAAAAGGGCTGCAGGAGGGAAAGGAAAGCGAGATTTGCAGCGTGAGAGAGGCAGTGTTGGCTTGGAGGTGGAGCGGAGTGTAGGATGAGGAAGGTGGGTGCCATCTAGGTAAGCCATCACCTCCCCCCGCCCCCCAACGCTGAGAGGCAGCGAGGAGAGCAAGGTCTTTAGACCTACAGCCCCACGGAACCGGATTCTGCCAACAACCTGGAAGACCACGGAAGCAGGTAAGCGCCCAGCTGGCTGACGCTTGGTTTTGGTCTTGAGACCCTGAGCAGAGAGCTCAGCTGAGCCCACGAAGACGTCTGAGCCACAGAAGCGCAAGAGAATGCATGTTGTTTTTAGCTGCTGAGTTTGTAGCTATTTCTCTGTTGGACTCCATAGCTTTTCTTCTTGTTGTGGTTCCTCATCCAACGGGCTGACGAACTGTGTGGCCTCAGGTGAATTACTCCTCCTGGAGCCTATAAAACCTGCCTCACTGAGTTTTTATGAAGATTAAATGGGATCCACATAAAGTGTTTACTGGCAGACCTGGGCACTTGGCAGGCTCTCAACCAAGGTCCCTCTCCGCACGTACATTTACGGAGTCCCCAGCGTCTGCTCAAATGCAGAGCTTCCTGCACGTTATTTCAGAGCTCCAGGTTCACCGTGGGTGTTCGATGAATGTGCGCTTTATGGGCTGTCTACACAGACAGCATTCATCAGATCAAGTTCATCAGGTATTTATGTTGGGAAATGAACATACGAAAAAAGGGTACACAAACCATCCTCTGTCCGCAGGCTGCCAGGAGTTTTGTAGGAGAGAATTATGCAAAGAAGTGTAGCAGTGTCATCCATGCTGGTGTATACCCAATCGAGGAGGCTACAGTGCCCTCCCAAAACGAGTGACATCTCAGGCGGAGATGAGGGGTGCGCGTATCCCAGGCAGGGCAGGCACAGAAGTTTGTTAGGGGCTGCAAGAAGCCTGGTTTGGACAGAACGAAGGGTGCCACGGCGAGGTAGGATATGTGGTAGAGCTGATGGGTTAGGCTGGGGACACACTGCCTTCCATGCATGGGACCAGGCTTCTTCCTTCTGACTCCGGGAAGCTCCTGGGGTCTTCTGGCACTAGAGGAACTTGATCAGACTTGCACATTACAAAGGACACCCTGGTGTGTGATGCAGGGGCTTCGAGGACACTGCAGGGCCGGAGTGGTGGACACGGAGAGAGGCACCTAGGTCAGTGGCCACGCTGCACTTGCGAGGCACACACACAATCCCCTGCCCTAGATTCATCCGGGGTCCTGAGATTCTGACACCTTAGCTTAATGTCACTTGTCAAATGAATTTCTGTGGCGAGGGACAATGCATCAGGGGCTTCTGGTGTGGGAAAGGAACGGTGTGTGCTAGTTACTGTCCCCACTGTGGAACAGGGAGGGTGGAAGCTGAGGAGGCAGTGGCCTGGGCCCCAGGGCTGAAAGCTACGGTCTGGATTTTGCAGGGACACGGGGTCGTGTAAGCACCTTTCTAAGGGCGGGCTTGAGGGGGTGCAGTGTGAGTTTCCCCCTTCTACGCAGGAAACCCCTGGGGGCTGAAGGAGGGAAAGATACTCTATTTTTTTGTGTGTGTCTTTAAAATAAAGACTGGGGCTGGTGCTGTGGCATAGAGGGTAAAGCTGCTGCCTGTGGTGCCGGCATCCCATATGGGCACCAGTTGGAGTCCCGGCTGCTCCACTTCTGATCCAGCTCTCTACTATGTCCTGGGAAAGCCGTGAAGGATGGCCCGAAGCTCCTGGCTCCTGGCTCCGGATCGGTGTAGCTCTGGCTGTTGTGCCTGGGGAAGCAGCAGCAGATGGTCAGACTTCTTGGGCCCCTGCATCCACAAGGGAGACCTGGATGAAGCTCCTGGTTTGGACCGGCCCAGCTCTGGCTGCTGTGGCCATTTGGGGAGTGAACCACTGGATGGATGACCTCTCTCTGACTCTCCTTTTTTCTGCCTTTAAAATAAATAAATCTTAAAAAAAAAAAAAAAGTGTTAGGCATTGTGAAAAGGGCTACACTGAAAGACATCTCCTGCACACTGGCTTGGAAACATTTCTATTTAAAAATGAGTCAGAGGTTTTCTTTTAAAAATTAGAATAGAGCTTTATTTGTGAAATCCAGATTTAAAAAATTTTATAAAGTTTGCATCTGATACATTAATCTTGATATGTATTTATCATCTCGGATTTTTTTTAAAGTCAAATAGTTTATAATCAAAATGAATTGTGTTTAATACTTATATGGAATAACTTCAGCATTATAAATACATGGAAACAAATACCATTTAGATTTTGGTTATGATGCATTTGTAATATAATTTGAAGTCTGTTACAATTTTTTGAAAAGAGAAAATGTAGGCTGAAGTGATGTGCTTACAATGTCTAGAAAAATAGGATATCCTTGCTTAGTGACCAGGACCCCACTGACTCGCCAGCAGAATGCATTTGAGATATTTTTCTGTCTGGGAGGTGGGGCTGTGTGGCTGGATACTGGCTCCTTCTGGGCTGCCGGCCCACACCTGGGAGATGGAGGGAATGATGGGTTACAGTTGGGAGCTGGCAGCAGAGTGTCTGGTTCCACTCACAGCAGGTTCTTTCTGAGTAGCAGGACCAGGCATATGGGTATCTGTCGGTCAGGTGAAATGAAACCTTTGTATTTTCTCAATTTCTGGCATGTGCTGTATTTACAGACATGATATTTAAATAATCATTTGGTAAAATTCTGTTTTAACAAAAATAGTTTTCACATTCAGTTCTATGCAGGGAGTACATTTCCAAAATGAATTGCCCCATTTTAATAATACTTTGCTGATGTGGAAAACTGAATGCTGACGGTCAGATCCACGTGGAGACACAGAGAGGTACACACACACACACGGGCATGTGCGGCAGGCATGCTCCCGCTTCCTTGTCTATCAGAAGTCCTTTCCGTTTTAAAGGAGGCGATTCTTCCTAGGGGCACAGGCAGCCTGCACTCCTGATGCGACCAAATCTAACGGCCAGTCCTGTACAGAGCTTTTCCCACATCTCCTCTCTTGGGAACTTACAACACGCGAGTTTTGACGATAAGGGTGGGCGTGGATACTTTCACTTGACAAATGAAGAGACAGGAGCCCAGAGAGGTTACAAAACTTGCTTCTGTTGACACAGGTATAGGTGAACAGCCAGAAGGACACCTGGCGGACGTACCTGAACGCTGGCGGACACTGCTGAAGACACTCACGCGGGGTGCGTGGATCCATGGATTGCCTTCCCTAAACCAAGCTGAGGCTGTGGCGTCTGCAAAGTGGTTTTGCCACAGCCACAGTGCAGCTCTCTACCAGGTGCTAATGGGTACTCACCATATTATACTCCAACAAACTGAAGCCAGTAATAGCCAGAAGTACTTTTTGCAGTTTTCACAGAGCATATACATGTAATTCAGATGATTCATAACATATATTTACAATTTTTCCTAAACCACCAAGATATATTGAGAAATAGGTTTAATTTTTTAAGAGCATCCGCTAAGTAATCATGTAAATCCCAGGATGAAACTCACGGAATCCTGGCGCACTCTATCCTTGCAGGTGCACAGTGTCCTTTTGGCCTCGTTCTGTCACCCCTACTTTCAACTAGTCACAAATTCATTTACGCATTTCTGAGTTCCTTGAGGATGAGAACTGAACTGGGTTTCTCTGAAGCTAACAACTCTGACCTCCAGGGCCTGGCACAGCGCTACGGGCATGGCAGGCATTCGGTAAATGTTTGTTGAACGCATGGGCGTGTCTTTCTGTACTTCAATTCAGTTAAAGCGGAATTCTCCCTGTAGCCTTTTGCCTAGAGTTTTGGACTTGTAATGAAACATCATCATTTTCATAGTAAACAGTGTCTTAAAAAGCTAAGAAATATGGTAACAAATTTAACACAAATTATGCATTACAACTACTCTTTGGTTATTTTTAATAAGGTATTTGGTTTTTTTTTACTAAAGTGATACTAAAAATATAAAAATGCAACTACAGAAATTAGCTTAACCTGTAAACACAATAAACCCTGTAAACATATATTTACTACATAATTGTGCAAGTGTAAAGAATGACTACTAAAGGCAAATTCTTGCTATACATTTAACTTAGTTCTTCAAGTCATATTTAGAAATACTGCTTCATAGAGCTTTAATGTTCAAAGGAATTCTAACTACATGAAAACATGAAAAAATAATGGCTATATCAAAGAACCATATGCTATAAAGGCAAGAGAAAGGCATTAATACTTTTCACCCATTGCAAATAAGAATTTGCTTCACATGTCTCATGAGCCACCTTGTTTAGTAAAACTGCCTATTAACACAAGCCAAATACTTTTACAGTGAAGTAAACAATTTTTTGCAAGTGAGTCAGTTGACTAAAAATATAGGTAATGCACTTTCCAAGTTTTTTTTTTTTTTCCTAAAAATCTGGGCAGTAAGGTGCATAAGGCAGGGCTACAAAATAATAAATAGCTATGAATAGCAGTAAATATATTGTAGTTTACTCAATATTAAAGCATCCTCCCCCCATTTTAGGTTTCCTTTTCAAAAAGCATCAAACTTTTCACACATGACAGTTATCACAAATATTTCACAGTTATAATTTCAGTAGTTTAAGAAAGAACTGCCTGGCAAATACTGTAAAAGAGGTAAATGTTAAGGACAAAACTCACTGTTTCAGGCACACAAGGACTTAGATCCTATAGCGTGACCTCTAAAGATAGAATGCAACAACTGTGTCTGTGCAACACACTGAGTGATTGAAATAATGGTATAGTTGTCATACTATTTATTCTAATGATGATTTTCTCCAACCAGCGGCCAACTTTTAGTAGTTCCCTGGAAAATTCTGCTTATAAAACTGCGACAGTAAAAACACCATAGATGGTTATTTGTACTCTAATCAACTCCATCAAAACCCTGAGTGTTTTCAATGGCCATCTGAAGCTTATCCCATAATTCTTCAAAGGACTCATAGGGTGGCAAATCCAAGCGATTAAAGCTGAAAGAACAGAGAGGGACTGGTTAGGAAGGACACTGACAAAGCAAGCATCATGACGAGCAGGTTTCAACAACAGCAACAGATGCCTGCTCACCAGGGGTAGGAATGGCCTCCAGGCATGGGCCCTCCCCAGGACTCCTGGGTAGGGTTCTCCCACTTTCACCTTGACTTCCAAATATCTGGGTCTCACTGCCATGTTAGCCTCCCAGGGGGCATCTTCTAGCTCTCTTGGGATAGTCCATCACTCAGGCAATAGAGGCAACCTACAATCAACACTTAGACGGCCTCTCCGATGTTCAGCTACTTGGACTTTGAGCCCAGGTCTACCTGGTAAAGAACCACTGTACCTGGTTTAGTGTCACTGACTCTTCCTCACCCATGGCTGCCAGCCACACAGCCCCAGAGGGAGCTAGACCCACCCTACCTAGGCTAACAGCAGGAAGAACTTGGTTCTGTGAGGACACGTTGGACCGTGAGGCTCAGCAACTGCTTACCAGGTATGAGCCCTTGGCAATTTTTCGGGGGTACCCCACTGTTCAACTGTGAACGACTGTGGTCCATTTGAGCCTGTAAGGAAGAAGAGTTTCTCTAGTTTCATTGACTCCACCAGGAATAAACATTTCAAAACCCATTTTTCCAAATGTAGAACCCAGACATCGAGGAAACTAATCTGGCTTTTTTTTTTACTTCCAGAGAAATGAAGCCTGTTCCGGGCTTGACAGCTTCATCATGTGGCCAGGAGGCGACGGTCCCTCATCTGCCATGCCATCTGCGGCCACCGTGGCACCCTGTGCCTGGTGTGGTAGGGCTGATGATGCTCTGGCCATTTCCTAGTGCGGTATACAATTCCATTTACATATACAACTTCCTTCATAGGCTCATGGAGAACATGAGCATTTTCTTTTTGAGTTACACTGGAAATAGCTTTACTTTTTTTTTTCCTGATTAAGTAACTACTATTAAAAATATTTAAAGTGCTAGAGTGAAACATAGGAAAGATGGGGCAGATGTTTGGCACAGTGGTTAAGTTCTGACTTGGGACAGCTGCATCTGCAGCTGGAGTGCCTGGTTGCAGTCTTGGCTACTCCACTTCCGATCCGGTTTCCTGATACTGTGGACCCTGGTGTGCAGCAGAGGATGGCCCAAGCGCTTGGGTCCCTGCTACCCATGTGGGAGACCCAGATGGAGTTCTGGGCTCCTGGCATCAGCCTGAAGACATATAGGGAATGAGCCAGCCAATGGGAGATCTCTGTCTCTGTCTTTCAAATAAAATAAAAATGTAGAAAAAAATCTCAACTCTAACCATGGACTCTGGGTAAATACTGTGTCCTGAATCATTCTGTGCAAGTGATCATATTATACAGTCTACATTTTTCTTTTATTATGGACATTTTTAGAAATTTTTTTTCCCTTCAAAGTTTCCATTTAGCTCCTCCTCTTCTAATCCTCAACATCCCCCAACCACCATGTAATCGATGTTGACAACCCAATCCATAACTTTCCATACTCCTCTTCGTGTTTTATAATTATACCCAAATGTGAATGTGTATGTATAGCTGCCAGAACACTAAAAACATTTAATATTCCCATTATTAACAGTTTCTCAAAAGCATAACTTTTCACACATTACTCATTATAATTATGTTCACAGTTAAAGTTTCAGTCTCTCATCATTTTCCATAATATGAAATCATATTGTACATATTTCTCTAATGATTCTTAGACCTAAACAACCAACTGTGAATACTCCAAGTCAACTGATTAAAAACTTCATAAACCTTTTGTTACTTACTGGCTACACCATATTGAACTGTAATGTTAACATGCTGAAACAACTTCTACTTTCTGGAAATACATAAAAATGAGGATTTATAGTCTAACACAACTCTGGCTCCACGTGTGGAATATTTCCTCCAAATTTTAGACAGTTCATGAATCCAGGGAATGGGTGTGGCCTGGTGTTGCACGAAAGAGGAAAGTGGAGTTAGAGAGGCACAGGGGCATGTTTGCCCTGCCTTGATTGTCTCTAACTGGCCAGAGAAGCTGAAGGAAGGGGTGTAAAATGAAACCATTAAAGACACAAAGCCTAAGAAATCCAATTAGCAAAGAAAACAGTGAATTGGTTAGTGGCAAATCTAACCACTGTGTCACCAGAGGCGGACAAGTGGGCGCTGCTGACAAGTGCTACAAGCACATATAAATGAAGTTTCACAGGGGACCAGGTTTGCCTGGGAGGACAGAGAGGGACTGAGCACTCCTTCCAGATAGTGACAGATTCTTCTGAATGGAAAATTCAGCTTAGGCTACCTGAGCAGCAGTTCCCAACAACCTTTTTTTTTTTTTTTAAAGATTTATTTACTTATTTGAAAGGCAGACATACAGAAACAGAAGGAGGTAGGAGGGAAGAGAGGTCTTTCATCCACTGGTTCACTCCCCAAATGGCTGCAACGGCTGGGGCTGATCTGAAGCAAGAAACTGGGTGGTTCTTCTGGGTTTCCCACGTGGGTGCAGGGGCCCAAGCATTTGGGTCATCATCCGCTGCTTTCCCAGGTGCATTAGCAGGGAGCTGGACCAGAAGTGGAGCATTCAGGACTCGAACTGCAGCCCATATGGGATGCCGGCCTTGCAGCCGGAGGTTTAATCTTCTATGCCCCAGTGCCGGCCCCTGACCTTATTTACTGTTGAGTAGGACTTCAACTTCAGCTATACCTTTTTTATAAGATTTGTTGTTGCTATGTTTAAAAGCAAGTAATGTCACTGCAGTAAACAGAATATTAACCAATGTGAGAAAAGTTGCTGTAATCTATATTGGAAACAGCAGGTTTTTTTTTTTTTTTTTGAAAAAAGAGAACTCTCTATGTGACTCTTGGAAAATAATTTGACAGATATACAGAATTTCACTTTATAGAAAAGCTGCACTGACACTAACTTTTGCATATTAAGAGATAACGTTCACACTTGTCCCAGTTCTGCTACTTCCCCCCAAAAATGAGGAATAGTAGCCCAAGGAGATTCTCCACTCCCCAACTCCCACCACAAAAGTAAAATATCTGTGATCAAGTAAGGTTTGGAAATTCTGCCTTTTGTTTTCTGTTTCTCTCTCTCTCTCTCTTTCTTTTCTTTTCTTTTTTAATATAGTCGAGGTCTGAACAAGTCTTGAAGAAGTCTATTTAACTAATGTTTAGCCCAGCATTTCCCCAACTGTATTCTACTATGATATCCTTTGTTTTTCTGCAGTACACTTACTAAGATTCTGTGGAAGTTTAAATGCTCCCTTGAACTATCCTCTTAGAAGTAATGATTTTTTTTGTAATGGGAGCAGGATTTAAAATTCAAGAATGAAGGGGCAGGCAGCAGTTTAGAAACTGCTGGGGATGCCTGCATCCCACACTGGAATGCCTGGACTAGCGTCCAAGCTGAGCTTCTGATTCGTGGTGGGAGGCAGCAGGTTAAGGATAAAGCACTTGGGTTCCTGTCACCTGCATAGGAGACCTGGGTGCAGTTAGGGCTCCTAGATTTGGTCGGGCCCAGCCCTGGCTGATGTGGGAGTGAAACAGCAGATGGAAGGTCTTGTTCTTATATGTCTGCCTAAAATCAATAAAAGTAAATAACAACAAAATAAAATTCAATGATGGAAAGTATCTCAAACCATTTCACACTTCCAGTTTTTTTCCTTCACCTGATTAGAAGCTGTGAAGATGGATACATTTTGGCCGACTTCAATGTACTCATGATATCATTTGAAAGCTTTTTATTAAGCTGAACGCTAGCATAAATGACGGGAGCCCGAAGACTAACTCACCATGACAAAGACACTTAGCACTGTTCCATTTAAAAATAACTTGCAGAAAATCCTTACCATATAGTTCAGCAAATCCATTCATAGGCACACGGGATGTGCCAGTAACAAACTGAAGTAATCTTATTCTTTTCTCCGAATCCATCATTAAAACAGCCTGAATCAGAGAAAAACATTTGGAGAATGGCATGGGAAAGAAGTTGAAAAAATCTGCCTTCAGAATTTAGTTAGAGGATTAGTAATCATTTGCTGAATCTGCATGTTTCTTTTAAATTTGTCTTTATGAGTTGTTTATAAAGTTCTTGAAAACTTTATATCTAAGACTATATGGCAGAACTCTTTAAAATGGGATTATAGCCTAATGAATTGATAAAAATTTCTCTTCAGATGTGAGTCGTGGCTTTTTACGAATTGTATTTATTGGTGTTTATTGGTATCCTGCAGTGCCACCCGCACTTCTCTCTAAGACAGAAAGGCAGCCGTGCAGGTGTCACCAAGAACACACTGCAGGTTACTACAGTGCTCCTGAGAGCCTCCTCTCTAGGAAGAAACTATGTGAACATCTCTCCCTTATCGACCCTTGGTACATCTGGACACTGTATTTATGCATCTCTAAATATGTATGCAAGTGGGGACCATATCCAGAAGGTGTATGACACAGTATAAAATTCAAGATAATTTTTGTTGGGCTATATATTTTTCCTGCATTATCTATATATCATCAACGCATACAGTTAATCGAGAGTTGACTTAAATAAGATCGAATTTGTCAAAAAGTATTTTACAAAAATCAAAGTTTCCAATTACCTTCCAAAACCACTGTATCACTTGATGACTGCTGCTGTAGCCATTTTTATACTTCGTATGTTCTCTCCAGTCATTCACATCCACGTCTCCCAGGCCGCACATAAGAAGCTACACAGTAAGAAATATCAGACTTCAACAAGGACAGTAATGGGTACACCATTCCTGTTTTAACATAAAAATAGTATTTCTTACCTCTAGTTCATTTTCATCGAAAATTTTAATGAGATCCTGTGGTATCAGTTCAAAAAATCCCTAGTAGAGGAGAAAATTTGTAAACCTGATTAGCTTCTGGATGCCGCTGGAGGGACCCCACATCCACGTAAAGGTGCTTTAGCTACTGCTAAAGATCCAAAGGCTCTGTACTGAGACCTCACTGCAGCGAACCCAAACGTATGCGTCCCCAGTCAGAGCCCGTCTCCCTTTATTTCCTCACAGTGGCTATTTTAAAGCTTCCTCACACCTCCCTTTTTGACCACAGATCATTTCTACCTGGAAAAGAAAACTGAGGCACTCGGCCGAGCGGGGGCGCCCTCAGCTGGGCGCATGCCCACGTACCCCACCCAGCTCCACAGCTGCGGAGACAGCGGCCGGAGCGCCCCCAGGGCTTCCTCAGGGCGCTTCCCTCTCCATACCGCCTCACACATTTACATTTGTGCAAGCCCTGTCTGCTTTAAAAACAAAACACAAAAGCCAGCACCTCCCTACCTTCTTCCCATGGCTGCTGAACTGGTCTCGTCCTCGCCTAATTCACTTCACATACCCCGGCCAGAATGACCTGGCGGAAATGTGCACAGAACCCAGGCAGTTCGCCCTTGGAATGGCCTTTAATGCTGCCCTCCCTCCCTCCCCTGGACTTAGAGAAACTCCACTGCTTAGCCATTCTGCTTGTTCCTTTTCACCAGAATCCTCTAAGCCAGCATCCTAAGATGCCTGCAACCCTCTCCAGTACGCCTACAGCTGTCCTCCTGCCACATTCCACCCTGCGGCTCCCTCAGCCGGGCGTGGCGTTTCCCTTTCTCTCTTCTGTGTGGTGGACAGGTGCCTGGGCCGTCCGTGTCCCTTCCTCTAACCTGTCGCTGCTCTGGTTTGCACCTCACTAGTACCTGACACTAGCTGCTGTGCGTTTCCGGTGTTACCTAAGCTCCTTGAATACAGGACCTTTGCTTCTCTATGGAGCACAGCACCGCACCAGGCAGAGTGCTCAAGATTTTTGATGAAGAAAGCAGTGATACATGAGAAGTCTTCAGAATTTTATAGAAAATGTTAATTATGAAAACATGATGCATAGATTTTAATCTTTTTTTGCATTCAACTTGTAATAACTTGTTAGAACACAAAGGAAATGGATCAATCTGAGGCACTAAGGATAAGAATAGTTTGAAAAGAGCTCTTATCAGAGCAACACAAAGCAAAGACAAACATCAAATGGGCCGGTGCCGCTGCACAGCAGGTTAAGCTGCCAGCTGCAGTGTGGTACCCCATATGGGTGCTGATTTGTGTCCCAGCCTGCTCCACTTCCTGTCCAGTTCCCTGCTAATGACCTGGGAAAGCAGTAGAGGATGGCCCAAGTGCTTGGGCCCCTGCCACCCATGTGGGAGACTCGGAAGAAGCTCCTGGCTCTGGCCTGACCCACCCATGGCTGTTGTGGCCATTTGGGGAGTGAACTAGCAGATAGAAGTTCTCTCTTTGTCTCTCTGTAACTCTGCCTTTCAGATAAATAAGTAAAGAAATCTTTAAACAATAACAACAACAAGCAAAAAATCCAAAACCTCATCAAACTTATGGTGAAGTGTGGTGGCAGAATAGTGGAATCATTGATGCTTTACAGAAAGTTTGCAGGGACTAAGCCCCAAATAAGTTAGCACTTTAGAAATGGATGTAATTCATCTTCACACGGGACAGAATGGGTTTGACGAAACCTCTAACAGCAGAGCATCCATGCCACCTTGCAAGGAAAAAATTAATCTGTTCATGCCCTCACTGAAGAGGACTGGCAATTAACAGCAGAAACAATAACCGACACCATGGATGCCCCGACTGGTTCAGCTTCTACAATTCTGACCGCAAAATTAAAGTGAGGCCAACTTTCTGCTCGATAGGTGCTAAAATGCTGCACCCAGATTGGCCACAGACAGGAGAAGAGATTTCAATGAAACTGTAAACATGGGGGATGAAGATCCTGAAGAATTTCTTAGAAGAACTATATGGGAGATAAAACATGATTTTACCAGTGTGACCTTAAAGACAATGCACAAACTGATGGCCACCAAGACATTCTTCTCAGATCTAGAAAAAAAAGATGCTAAATTCATATGGAAACACAAGAGACCCTGAATAGCTAATACAATCTTAAAATAACAAAAACAAAGCCAGAGACATCACAATACCAGATTTCAAGATGTACTACAGGGAAGTTATAATCAAAACAGCCTGGTTCTGGCACAAAAGTAGACATACAGACCAATGTTAACAGAACAGAAACCCCAGAAATCAATCCATGCATCTAAAACCAACTAATCTTTGACAAAGGAGCTAAAAAATCAATCCCTGGAGAAAGGACACTCTCTTCAACAAAAGATGCTGGGAGAAATGGATCTCTGCATGCAGAAGTATGAAATAAGACCCCTACCATACACCTTACACAAAAATCCACTCTGAAGGGATCAAGGAGCTAAATCTAGGACCTGATAGAGGAAAACATTGGCATAGGCAGAGATTTCCTAGAAAAGACCCCAAAATAAAAGCAATAAAAGCAAAAACAGACAAATGGGATTACATCAAGCTAAGACGCTTCTGCACTACAAAGGAAACACTCAACAAAGAGCAACTGAAAAAATCAAATAAAATATTTGCAAACAATACAACTGATAAAGGATTAATATTCATAATCTATAAAGAGCTCAACAACAAATAATCCAGTTAAGAAAAGGGGTAAGAACATGAAGAGACATTTTTCAAAGGATGGAATTCAAATGGCCAACAGACACATGAGAAAATGCTCAGGATCACTAGCCACAGAACATGCAAATCAAAACCACAGTGAGGTTTCACCTCACATCAGCTAGAATAATGGCTATCATCCAAAAATCAAAAAACAATGCTGGTGAGGATGTGGGGAAAAAGGTGCTCTGACTCACTGTTGGGAATGTAACTAGTACAGCCATCTGGGAGACAGGATGGAGATTCCTCAGGAACCTAAAAATAGATCTACCATATGACCCAGCCATCCTATTCCTGGGAATTTACCCAAATTACATGGAATCAACATAAGAACGAGTTATCTGTGCCCTCATGTTTATAGCAGCTCAATTCACAATAGCTAAGATATGGAATCAACCTAGATGTCCATCAACTGATAACTGTATAAAGTAAGTGTGGTAAATATATACTGTGGACTACTATTCAGCCATAAAAAAAATGAAATCCTGTCTTTTGAACAAACAAAATGGATGCAACTGGAAACCATTATGCATAGTGAAATAAGACAGTCCCAAAAAGATGTATCATATGTTTTCCCTAATTTGTGGTAACTAATATACAAAGTATAAAAAATGTAATGTACATGACTAAAATTGACGAGATTTGATGTTTATAGCCCTTGTCTATACTCTTGAGGAACACTGGTTTTTCTACTTACTACTCGCTGAATTATTTATTTAGTGGAGGACTAAGCCTGTCATTATAAATAAACTGAAGGTATGTCATTGTAAAACATAAAAGAAAAGGAAGGAGGGTGGGAGCAGGGGCAGGAGGCAGCGTAGGGCAGGAAGTATCATTAGGCTCTTAAGCCTGTACATATGAAATACATGGAATTTGTTTACCTTATGTAAGTCAAATTAACAAAAGAGGTGGAAAGGGCCCATTTAAAGCAAAAGCGGGGTCCCTGCCACCCACGTGGGAGACTCAGATTAAGCTGGGACCCAGACTTTGGCAAGGGTAGGCTGGTTGAGAGCACAGGTCTTGGTGACATTTTTTTGGATGCTCAAAGCATTCTGCTTGTTGACTTTCTGGAGGGCCAAAGGACAGTAACAGATGCTGATTCTGAGAGTGTTTTGAGAAAGTCAGTTAGAGCCTTAGCAGAAACATGCTGGGAAGCTTCTCCAGCGAGCCTGTCTCCACCATGACAATGCTCCTGCCTTCCATGACGATGCTCCTGCAAGGGCAGTTCTTTGAGAGTTTCCACGGGAAACCATCAGGCATCCACTTAACAGTCCTGATTTGGCTCTTTGCTTCCTAATCTTAAAATGTGTTTAAAGGGCACCTACTTTTCTTCAGTTAATAATATAAAAAGCAAGTCTGCACTGACATGGTTGAGTTTAAGGACTCGCAGTTCTTTAAGGATGACTAAATGGTTGCTGTCATCTGTTACAAACTAGATAGAACTTATATTGAGAAAGAAAGTTCTGGGGCTGACATTGTGGCACAGTGGGTTAAGCCTCCACCTGTGATGCCAGCATCCCATGTGGGCACTGGTTCAAGACCCAGCTTTTCACACTTCTGATCCGGCTCCCTGCTAATGCACTTTGGAAGCAGCAGAAGGTGACCCAAGTGCTTATGTCTCTGCACCCATGTGGGAGGCCTGGAAGAAGCTCCTGGCTCCTGGCTTCTGCCTGGACCAGTCATGGCTGTTGTGCTATCTGGGGAGTGAACCAGTGGATGGAAGATCTCTCTCTCCCCGCCTCCCCTTTCTCACCTTCTTCCCTTCCCCCTCCTCTCTCTGTAGTTCTGCCTTTCAAATAAAATAAAAACCAAAGTTTTAAAAATTAAAATTTTTAATTAAATTAAAAAAAGATTTATCTATTTGAAAGGCAGAATGACAGAAACATGAACAGAGAGAGAAAGTGAGATATTCCATATGCTGCTTCGCTCCCCAAATGGCCACAACAGCCAGGGCCGGGACATACCAAAAGCCAGAAGCAAAGTTCATCTACATGGGTGGCAGGGGTCCAAGAACTTGGATCTTCTTGTGCTACCTTTCAGACACATTAGCAGAGAGCTCTATTGAAACAGAACAGCCAGGACTCAAATCAGTGCACATGCATGGATGCTGGCATCACACAAGTGGCAGCGCTGTACCACAATACCATTTCTCCCTTCCTCCCCAATTTTTAAAGAATTTAATCTTTTTAAAAGATTAATTTATTCATTTGAAAGTCAGAGTTACAGAGAAAGGGAGAGATGGAGACACAGGGATCTTCCATCCACTGGTTGACTCCTCAGATGGCCACAACAGCCAGTGCTGGGCCAGGCCGAAGCCAGGAGCCAGAAACTTCATCTGGGTCTCCCATGATGTGATTGTATTTAGGAAAAAGCCCGACCTGCTACACTGTCCTAGAGCACTCCGTGCCACTGCCCACCTGGGGCTACTCAGAGGAGGGGAGTGGGAAGAAGAAAAGGTGAAAATGGAACTGCATGGTTCTGTCTAGAGTTCTTGAATGATTGAATTTTAATGGTGAACAACTATTCAAGGAATATTTTGTTGTCTAAAAACATAGCTTAGGGTGGTTTACAAATCAAGCCATATACTTATTTTTCTAAGATATGATGAATGAAGCCCAATATTTGAAATTTACAGATTGTACTTTGAAATTGTGAGTGAGAAAACAAAAGAAAATGAATACCTCTTTAAATGCAGCCATTTGCTTCTGGATTCGGTTTACAAACCGCCATTGTATTACAAGACTAAAAAGAAATAAAACATTTCACACTTTTTCTCATAAACCAAGAAAAAAGATTTAAGCTGGAGTTATTCAAGTTAGAAACAAAAAATAAAGGCTAGCTAAGCTCATGCCAAAAAGTTGATATGAATCGATAATACCGCAATGTTATAGAAATAAAAGAAGAACATCAAGATTGGGGCCACAGCATGGTCCGGGAAGAAGGTAAGAAGAATCTTACAAAAAAGTGCAAAATTATTCTCATTAAAATACTAATAAAATACTTACTAAATATATTCCTTTTTGTTCTTATTGGTGACAACTATTTCTGATCCACCATTTTTCAACTCATGTTGATGTGTCTAAAATTAAACATAATACCTTGATATGTTATTTTAGTAAGAAAGATTTCAAAGGTATACATATTACAGTTACGCCCAAAACCTGGTGTTTTACATTAAATCCATTCGAAAGCTAGAAGCTTAGAAAACTTAAATATTAGTTTTACTAAAATAAATATGGTATGAATCAAATGTCAAAAAAAGCAAAAATTCGTACTGAGCGCTCTTGTTACTGGAACATGAATGTAAAAGCAGAGCACAGGAATGTGTTGAGTATGTGCACTAACTCTAAACTGAAGCTGCCAAGGTTTTTTACACAATTTACCATTTTCACTGGTCAAAGGGTACAAACCTGTCCAAAAAGTTCTTCATCTATGATAAACCTGAGGTCCAGTTCTGTTGGGTCATTTTCAAGAATCCATCTTAGTGAGTTGTAATATTCACTATCCTAGACGGGAAAAATTTCATATTTAAAATGCATATATATATATATAAAGAAGACACCTGAGCTCCAGGTCAGAATAACTGGGTGAAAGACGAAAGGGTCACGTGGGCATCTTTTCCATACACACATACGTGTGCTCTAAGAAGAGACAAGGGGCCATGCAGGGCTAGACGTGTATCAGCCAGTGGAGGGTACTTGTTTAAAAGGTCAGAAACATCTCCATGTGAAAGCAGATTTTGTTACCCAGTTAAAGGGTTAAACAGAGCAGTTTTCAGATAAGTCCCAACCTCCACAGAAGTCATCCGGCCGATGAGAGGTTTATGAAATGTTCAGGTAACTATGAGGAGTTCCTTGTCTACACCTGGCCCAAGTGGAAGCTCAACTAAACAACTGAAATGACTGATGTTATGACGTGAAAAACCATGCTGATTGCACTGATGACTTGTGACATGAAAGTAAGAAGCAATCTACCTGGTACTAAGAAAGGAGGCTGTCCTGGAATCCATGTGTGCATGCAATGTATAGGGCTCTGCAGCAGCTGAGGGAGCATAGGGAGTCAAGATTTTAATCAGCATCTCTGTGTCTTTCTTGGGGACTAATCATGAGGCTACGCCTCCACACTACCAAATTTAAGATACATGCCAATATCCCAACTCAAATATTGACATAAAAGATACAGTACTGCTGCAAAGTAAGCATTTAGGGGGAAGTTTACTGGTATCTGCAGCTTACGAGGAAATGCATGAAAAAAACTACAGTGGATTAATGGGTCAAGGGATGGATAGATGGATAGGTATGCAATGAAATAAACATAGGAAAAGTTGAAAAGTCACTTGTAGGTGGTAGATATACAAGTGTCCACTGTAACGGTCTTTAAACTTGATTATATTTAGAAAATTTTCATGGTAAAATATTCATTTCTATTTTGAAAGGTTATTACTTGTTAATTTCTGTATCATTAAAAAACTAATTCTTTACAATATCCAGTTGTCTGTTAAATCATATGTCATTCCCATTACAAGTGAAAAGACATACCACTGACTCCATATCATGAAGTGTGATCGGTTTGTGTAGCATCATCTTGTAAAAAGGGCGAATGAAAAAACCTTGAAAAAAAACAATGATATTTGGAATTACTAAAACATGAAAGAAGATGGCTAATTACACTAAGACAAGGTTTATACTTGATACTAACCATCCAACAGCTTGCCGTGATACACTGCCATCCCAGCCACTCGGCCAATGAACTTGAAGTAAGAGAGGTGATCTTCATTACACAACCCAGAGTTTGGATTTATCTGTAGGGTGTAATTGTCCCTGCAGAGAGAACCACACGGAAATACTTCTGTTGGTAACACAGACAAAATGTTTAAGCTGACAAATCAGTATAAATGGATCTCCTCCTCCTTTGGAGTTGATCAGAACCACATTTGGCCACTGGATTGAATGGTTTGAAAAACAGTAAATTCTCTCAAAAGGAGGAAATAATACAAACACCCACTGATGTTGCGGGTATTCTTTAGCCTTAGGAAGGCGACTGTGCCACGGATGCACCCTGAAGACGGCGTGGCAAGTACAATAAGCCGGAGCCAAGGACAAACGCTGCGTGACTCCGCCCACGTGAGGGAAGTGGGGTAGCTGGATTTGCAAAGACAGAAAGGAGAACGGATGGCGACTGCAGGGAACAGAAGTCAGAGCTTCACCCTGAGAAGACAAAACGGTCCGGAGCAGTGGTGGTGACCGCACAGCAGCGTGCATGTAGCTGGCGTCACAGTGCTCACGGCCCACGGTCAGAGTGGGAAGTCTTATGTGAGGCATGTGCTACCACAACCGCTTAAAAAAGTCACTTCTAAAACATCAGTTGCGGCCTCCCCTCCCTGGTATTCCAGAACCCACATCTCCCTCGTATCGTGTAACTGCCACTTTGTACACAGTGATGTCTCCCTTGTGTGTAAGTGGTTGAAAAGGAACTTACGTAGCAGAATATTCAAACAGCCCATAGTAAGGGTTAAACATTTCCTTTGAGATCAGGAAGAACCATTCTCTGGCGACGCCTCCATAATCTAACCCCTTTTCACCGTCGAACTCAATCCAGAGCCGGGCCTTGAGGAAGTCTGCTCGCTTGACGCCCATGATTCTCCGGTAGGAGTCCTCGAGCACGGTGGCCCGGCGGAGCTTCATCTCAAACTTGTTTGGAATGTCATTCTGAAAACACAGAGAGGAGGAACTCGTGACTTGAGTCAACGCCGCGTAACGACACACGGGCCTCAGGAAAGCTCCCACACGCGCTCTGCCGCTGTCTTTCCCCCAGCGCCGGGGAAAACACAATGAGGTCTGTTAAAAAGGCTTATTTTATTTATTTGAAAGAGAGAGAGAGAGAGAGATTGATCAATCGATCGATCTTCCATCCTCTGGTTCACCTCTCAAATGGCTGCAATGGGGGTGGCCTGGCCAGGTTGAAGCCAGGAGCCTACAACTCCATCCCGGGTCCCCCCTGTGAGTGGCAGGGGCCCAAGTGCTTGGGGCATCCGCGGCTGCTTCCCCAGTTGCATTAGCAGGAAGGTGGATCAGAAGCACAGCAGCCAGGACTCAAACTGGTACTCCGATACGGGATGCCAGCGTCCAGTGGTGGCTTAACCTGCTTCACCACCAGGATGGTCCAGCTGTATTTTCTTACTTTTCCTCCATGGAAGAAATGAATTCATACATTTCAGTTCCCACTTCCTAATACCCACTTCTGATGTATCTGACGGGGCTGGTGAGGGGGTGACGACGCTCAGCTGAAGGCGTTTCATGAACAGTCCGTTGCACGCCAGGTTCCAGGGAAGCCCCTTCTCTGCCTCACTGTCTAGCCACCGCCTGGTACTTGCTGCTTGCCTGTCTGCCAAGGTGCTTCCCTACTGCAATTTTTCTTCCTTGCACTCTCTCCTGCTTCACCCAGGAATAGATGCTAACACTTATAGATTGTACCAGGCACAATTTTACTGGTTAACCCAAGTGTTCTTCATGACAGAATACAAAGAAGCTGCTAGTACCATCTCTACTCTACAGAGGGAGAAATGAGGATGCTGAGAAAGCTCCCCAGTCTCTGGTCTGCAGCAATGAGCGACACTGGCACACTGACCCTGTGCGCATCCTCTGTTTGTGTTACAAGTGTAGATAACTATACCTTAGGCAGATAGGATTACACATGTTATAACAATATTGCGGGATATTTTATTCCTGAGTGGTGTGTGTGCAATTTTCAAGTGGAAATCAATAAGAGAAAACACACTATCAAGATTCAAAAACAAAAAGAAAGGGTTAGCTCTAAGGGAAAAGAAAATCATTTTTCATATATTTAAGGAAAAAGAAAAGCCTGATAGAAACACAGTAACTGAAGCCTTGGATGGCCGTCGCCCTGATCCACAGGGTGGACATTCCAAGATGTCCCATGGATGCCTGAAAGGATACACAGGGCCAAGCCGCACCTGTCCGATGCTTTCTACACACACACACACACACACACACACCCTAGGATAAAGTCTAATTTGTAAACTAGGCACAGCAAGAGATTAACAATAATCATAAAAGAGAACAATTATAACAATCTCCTAACAAACATTATTGAAAAGGAATGAGTGGCTTATTTCTAGAACTTTCCATGTTTAACATTTTCAGGCTGCAGCGGACAGTGAGTCGCCGAGACCTCAGGAAGCAGATCCTGGGGCGAAGCGGGGAGACTGCCTCCCAGAAGCTGTTCCTCCACCGCTTGTGCAATTCACAGAATGGCAAGATGGGAGAAAAGCAATTTCAGACTGGCTGCCAGGCAGCTGGTAGGTCACTCGCCTGCCCTGGGCGAGGCCCTGGGATGGGCAGCCAACCAGTGAGGCCAGCCAGGGCGGGGAAAGGTAGTAAAAACCCTTGCTTCCTCAAGGGGTCTGTGAGACAGAGGTGTGAATGCTCCTAATTCTGAAACTTGAAAGAGTAGGTCAACTGCTAAAGAGACATGGAGGCAGTGCTTGGAAAAGCAAAAAAGTCCAAGTTACTAGTGGAAAACAAGGCAGTGGAGGCAGCTCTGGACAGGAGAGGAGGGGAGGGAGGGCCCAGGAAGGGCAGACTCAAAGCACAGCAGTGAGAGGGCGAGACACAGCTGCGGGGACAGTGGGAGCAGGAGACGGGAAAACACAGCTCCAAGTGAAGGGAGAGGCAGACAAGCAGTCTGGGATGAGGCAGAGGGCAAGTGCGGAGCTGCACAATTGGACTGCTGGGTTTTCAGCACCTGAATGCATAGGGGTTAAAGAGCTTTGCTTTAAGGAGGGAAGACAGGAGGCACATCGGTCAGCTGCAGACCCCTGAAGAAGCCCCCGTGGGAAAAGGCAGGCGGACTGTGAGGAAGCAACAGTCATGGAAGGAGGGGAGAGACCTTAGGGTCTGAATGGGGTGGCACACAAGTGCACGCACCTCAGCGTCAGGCCCTGTGTTCAAATGCTGCCTCCACCACGTGCTGGGGGTGTGACTTAAGGCACGCTGCGTGTCTTCTCGAAGGCACTAACGTAGGGATCACATCACATCAAAACTACCTGGTGGAGCTTCTGAGATGAAATGCAGTGCTTACGTGGGATCTGCCACGTGAGCAGCTGCAGAACTGTCAGGCAGCCTTGTTCCTAACTCATGAGACATCGAGGGAAAGGTTAACACAGAGTTCAAGCCTTTCAGGCGCTCATTTTCAAAGATTTTTTTTATTCCAACGTCAGTATTTTAGAGAAAGAGAGAGAGGGAGATATCTTCCATCTGCTGGTTCATTCCCCAAATGGCTGCAACGGTCAGGGCTGGGCCAGGCCAAAGCCAGGAGCCAGGAGCTGGGAACTTCTTCTGGGTCTCCCCCTGTGGGTGCAGGCATGCAAGCACTTGGGCCATCCTCTGCTGCTTTCCCAGGCACATCAGCAGGGGGCGGGATTGGAAGAGGAGCTGCTCAACATGAATTGGTACCCGTATGGGGAGCCTGCACTGAGGTGGAGGCTTAATCCACTGCGCCACAGTGATAGCCCCTCAATACATTTTTTAACTTCTGTTCTTATGTTCTGCTTTTTTGCTGTCTAGATATGGATTTTATTTTTCAAAGTTTTATTTACTTAGAGTGAGAGAGGGAAGGACGGAGGGAGGGAGGGAGGAAGGGAAGGAGGGAGAGAGAGAGAATATGCATCCTCCCCTGCACTGGGCCACTCTCTAGACGCCTGCAGTGGCTAAGCTGGGCTGGGCTGGAGTGAGAATTTGCTCCAGGTCTCCGGTGTGGGTGGCAGGGACCCAATTACTTGAGCCACCACTGAGGGGCAAGAGCTGAGAGACCAAACCCAGGTCCTCCGATGGAAGCTGAGGGCCTCCTAACTGTAGGCAGAGCGCTCGCCCTGGGTTCTGCCTTTAACATCCTGCTCGGAACTTTCTGCTAAGGTGAGGATTCGGTCTCCTCCCGGTGCTCCCCTCTCCTTCTGGAAGGACTCCGTGTCTCCCAGCTTCTCTTTTATATGCTGATGCCTTTAGGTACCACTGTGGCATTCTGGGTGTTTTCTGAACAAAGTTTTTCTCTAGATCGCCGACTTATGTCACGCTGGTCAGGAATGTTGGCTCTTGAAGTGAAACCATTTGTCTGAATCCGGCTTTTTTCTTTCTTTCTTTATAAGATTTATTTATTCATTTGAGAGGCAGAGTTACAGAGAGAGAAGAGACAGAGAGGGATCTTCCATCCGCTGGGTTCACTCCCTCAATGGCTGCAATGACCAGGGCTGGACCAGGCTGAGGCCAGGGGCCAGAAGCTTCTTCTGGGTCTCCACGTGGGTGCAGGGACCCAAGGACTTGGGCCATCCCCTGTTGCCTTCCCAGGTGCATTAGCAGAGAGCCAGATCAGAAGTAGAACAGCTGGGACTTGAACCTGCTCCCATATGGGATGCTGGCATTGCGGGGTACAGCTTTAACCCGCTGAGCCACAGCACCGGCCCATGAATCTGGCTTTTCTACCTAGTGAGACTTCATCACATTGCCTAGCTTCCTCGTGCCTCAGTTTTCTCGCCTGTAGAATGAGGTAACAGCCCCTTCCTTACAGAGTTATTGTAGAGGTTAGATGAATACTACATTTATCCTAAGAAGAATGCCTGGTATGCGGTAAGAGTTCAGTAAGTATTACTGCCTTCATTGTGCTGTGTGTATTCTGCGGCCTGTTAATAAGGATTTGTCTCTTACCTCCTGTTGCCTAGAAGACACTGACAGTTAGATGTGTGGCAAGGTAACTGTTCACAGCCGCAACACAGAAGCTGGTACTTCTGCTCTGTGAGCACATTCTTGTTAAGAACAAAAACACTTAGGGGTGGGCGTCTGGCCTAGTGATTAAGACGCTGCTTGAGATGCCCACATCCCATCCTGGAATCCCGGCTCTGTTCTGACCCCAGCTTCCTGCTAACGCACACTCTAAGGGCTCAAGTCGTTGGGTCTCTGGGAGACTATGATTGAGTTCCAGCTCCTCTCTTTGGCTTGGCCCAGCTCCATCTGTTGTGTGCATTTGGGGGAGTGAACCAGTGGATGGTAGCTTTCTCCCTGAACCTCCAGTTAAAAAAAATACAATCGTTTTTAGAGAATAAAAGCATTTACCACAAAAATAATAAATATTTAAATCTCAAGCCCTAGGAGCAGTAAACTTTCCAGAGCAATGAGTAATTCTGATATGAAGTGTTTTTTGTTTTTTTTTTTTTTTTTTTTTTTTTTTTTTTTTGACAGGCAGAGTGGACAGTGAGAGAGAGAGACAGAGAGAAAGGTCCTCCTTTTCCATTGGTTCACCCCCCAATAGCCGCTACGGCCAGTGTGTTGTGGCCGGCGCGCTGCGCCGATGCGAAGCCAGGAGCCAGGTGCTTCCTCCTGGTCTCCCATGGGGTGCAGGGCCCAAGCACTTGGGCCATCCTCCACTGCACTCCCGGGCCACAGCAGAGAGCTGGCCTGGAAGAGGGGCAACCGGGACAGAACCAGCGCTCCAACGGGGACTGGAACCCGGTGTGCCTGTGCCACAGGCGGAGGATTAGCCTAGTGAGCCGCGGCGCAGGCCATGAAGTTATTTTTTAAGATGAATGTAAAAGGTTGCTGATATGTAAGTATTTTATTAGGCCATAAAATAGCTGCACGTAAAAAGAAAACTCTCATTTCATTTTTGTTAAGATTAAAATAAATTTTTAAATTTTTATCTGAGAGGCAGAAGGAGTGAGAGAGAGAGAGAGAGAGAGAGAGAGAAGCATCTCCTACCCACTGTTCACTCCCCGAATGCCTGCAGTGGCCCACTGGGCTGGGCCGGAGCAGGAAGCCCGAGACTCAAGCCCGGTCTCCCACATGGGTAGCAGGAACCTAGGTACTGGAGCTGTCACTCCCAGATCTGCTGTGGCAGAAAGCTGGAGTCAGGAGCTGCAGGTATTGAATCCAGGTACTCTGATATGGAACGTGGGTGTCTTTACTGGTAGGCCAGTGCCTGCTCTCTGTTAAAATTTTGGATGAAAATTCTGTAATTGCAGATCCACCATCTTAATCTTTGGGGAAGCAGGCTTCCGGCTTAGTCAATAAGAACGCATAACTCAACATCGCCACCTAGTGGTGGTATTCCTAACCTGCAGGTAAAGGAGGGAAAGGATGAGCAAAGTGGAAAGGCATTGAAAATGGTAGACACCAAGAGAAATAAAATAGAGGGGGAAATGAGCTGAGTTCCAAATGTAATCTGCGGTGATGGAAAAATACAATAACCATGTCTGATCAGCACAAGATGATAATGACCACGATTCCACTCACAGCTGTATTTTTATATACAAATGTGTGCTTATGTGTGATACGTGAAGCTGCAGAGAATGAATGACTGCTACTGGAAAACAGCAGTACACGCAGAGCAGGAATCCAGCAGGTCCTCCAACACAATCAAAGACGAGGCCAGAAGATAATCTTCTGAGCTACTCTCGCTCATTCTTCAGAAACCAAGCCCCACACATCCCAGGAGGGTACGCCAGGTTACAGCCCTTTAAAACACACTTCTAATATGATTTCCGAATGTTGCAAAATATCTTGAAAAATAAATAGAGCTATAAAATAATTAAGGTCTCTAATGATCCTATAACAGCTACCAAGAAAAAAAAGCACCCTTTTCCTGCGAGAAATTATTCACTCCAGGTTATAAACACAGAGCACATTCTCTGCTACTCTTAAAAATGCATTTCCCGTTACCCTTGACCTCTATAATGATACACATTGTAAGTTGTCACTAACCTGCTTCTTCAACTTTCTTCGGAAGAACTCATACTTTCTTTTGTAATCCCTGGAGTAGGGCACTGCCTTCAGTTGAAAAAATTTGGAAAAATAAAGAAAGTTTAGGTTGTTTTCATTCTGGAACAATTTATAAAGTTTCCTTCTGGGTATTTTATGAACATAAGCTAAAGGCATTAGAAGAGATTATTGGAAAGAAAAGTTTAGTTTGAAGGAAAACAAAGACAAAACTTAAAAAAATTAATTTCTCTGTTTAAGGTAAAGTTTTGCTCAGCAATTCCTATGGCTGTAATTTTCATCATGCAATATTCTTGAAATGCAACATGCCAGAAACAGGAAATTTCTTCCAAGTAGAGAAATATTAGAAACAAAATTTTCCATTTCTAAAAGGACTTTCACAGTGATTTCTCCATTAAAGGAACAATTTGAAAAATGTACTTTTCCCTTGAACTCTGAGGAGCTGCCTTTTTTATCCATTATTTTAAAACTGCACATGAAGATACTACAAAGTGATTTAAAAGAACCGTATCTTCAGTTTTACTTATTTTTGTGAGGCAGGAAAGGAGAAAAGGAGCTGTGCCAGGGAGGACACTGACTTCCCTCTCCCTAACCTGACCCAAGAGCACAATCACAATACATGACAACAGCCATGTGAAAGCCCGAGTGTGCCTCACCCAGGGGCATCTACAGTGACTGTTGCCAAAAAGTTCAAGACCTGACCCAGGAGCTAAAAGAGCGCAGGTGCTTCCTCACCCTGGCCCACTATGGCACCTGTCTGATGCGCTGAGGGCCGTCAACGTTGTTTCTTAGACAATGGCGGATCTCAGCCTCGGCTCAGCAGCCCAGGGCTGCAGCTCTCTGTCTGGCTCACTGGCCCATCAAGGCTACAGCACAGAGTGAGGACAGTGGGCTTTACTCTACCTTTTCAACTAAGTAAGGCCTGGAGTAGGCCCAGTGGGGAGAGGACAGCGGGGCAAGCATGCTTCCCTCTCAGTGCCTGTGGGGCTACGCCCTCGAAGAAACAGGCAGAAAGAGCTGAGAGGACACCCCCATCAGCGCACCCTGACACAGAGAGACTTACTGGTCCGGTGATGGCTGCATTCTGCAACCGAGGGTCTTCCCATTGTGTTTTTTTAATATCTGAAGGGAAGAAAACAAAAAGCTGTCTTTTTCTCAGGCACAAACTTCAATTGTCACAAAAAAAAGTAATGAAAAATCACTTTGTACATACTGTGATTTATGTAGAATATTCTTCCATCTGTGTGAGTCCTCTCTTCCCATCCTGGCTGTAATTAAGAATGCATTTCAAATGTTTTAGGAAGAGTTTCAGATGTATAGGTGGAAAGACAGCATTGGTCATATGTCTAGTTTAATTTGCATATTCCATTCTTAGAAGCCATTAATGCTTTAATAATGACCTTAATTACAATGATTAAAGAACCACTATGTTCCGAATAGAAAATGTTCGAGATTGCCAGGCTGGGTCAGTGGCAGTTCTGTACACTTACAGGTAAAGGCCCCAGATCGCTGGATGAATCAAGTGGTGCCTTTCCTCGCAGATGAGCTGGAATTTTCAATCTTGGATCTTCCTTTTTTCGGCAGAGTAAATAAAGAACAAAACATACACACACAAATTTGAAAATTATGAAAGTTGCTCTATGAACACACCTTTGAATAGCAATGCATATCTAAAATATTCTCTTTTAACTACAATCTATTATATCTGATTTCCTTAATCTGTGATATAACAATTTCTCCTTCTACAACGTACCAGCATCAAGCTACAGAATTAAAGGGATGGATGAGGGTCACTTCATACTGATCCTCTCTTCCACAGGAACCGAACAAGGGTTCTGCCTTACTCTCTGGGAACTGGGTCATTACAGAGGGCTTTTCTAAACATAAAAGCTGGTGGGGGGGCCAGTGCTGTGGCGCAGTGGGTTAACGCCCTGGCCTGAAGCACCGGCATCGCATATGGGCGCGGGTTTGAGACCTGGCTGCTCCACTTCCAATCCAGCTCCCTGCTATGGCCCGGCAAAACAATAGATGGCCCAAGTTCTTGGGTCCCTGCACCCATGTGGGAGACCCGGAGGAGGCTCCTGGCTCCTGCCTTCAGATCCCCACAGCTCTGGCTGTTGCGGCCAATTGGGGAGTGAACCATAGAATGGAAGACCCCCCCACCCTGCCTCTCCTCTCTCTGAACTCTGACTTGCAAATAAATAAATAAATCTTGTAAAAAAAAAATGGTGAGAGAATGGGACATTAAATTGGACTGCATGTTCTTTCTTAGCTCCAAAACACTTTTTGGTACCTTTATGTTCAAACTTATTAATATTTTGGAAAGACAGAGATATAAGCCCCAAAAGGTTATTTAACTCAGATTCTTTTAAAACAAGAATAAAGTTCAATTTATTTGGATTATATATATGAAATTACTTTAATAGTATTTCATTATGTCATGTATTAGACTATTTGTTTCATTTAAGCTATATTGGCCTCATTTGCTAATTTTACATAATTTTACTATTACCGGTCACCAACAACTCTACAATGTAAAACATTATTTTAAAATGTAAATACTTGTTTGACCTAGCCTTGCAGGTAGTTCTGCTACTAAATGAGGTATGGGCCAGCGCTGTGGCACAGCAGGTTGAGGCCCTGTCCTGAGGCACTGACATCCCATATGGGCGCAGGTTCTAGCCTCGGCTGCTCCTCTTCCGATCCAGCTCTCTGGTATGGCCTGGGATAGCAGTGGAAGATGGCCCAAGTCCTTGGGCCCCTGCACCCATGTGGGAGCCCTGGAAGAAGCTCCTGGCTTCGGATCGGCGCAGCTCCAGCCACTGCAGCCATCTGGGGAGTGAACCAGCAGATGGAAGACTTCTCTGTCTCTACCTTCCTCTGTAACTCTTTCAAATAAATAAAAATAAATCTTTTAAAAAATAAATGAGGTATGGATTCAGCAGTATTTTTGATCTATGAAGTCTCACATAAGAGTAAAGGATTATCACTGAGTATCTTCCTATGCATTGTAGCTAGTGAACTAAAAAACTGGCTGTGGGAAGTATATATGAACACTGCATAATAATTAAACAAAACAATTAAAAAGAGACACAAGTGTGCCTTGAATACAAATAATACTAGGAATTCAACACCTCTTTAATTAATACTAGGGAAGGCCGGTCACACTAAACGCACACTGAGAGACCGCGAGGAATCTGAACTGCAGAGTAGGAGAGTTACCCAGGTGGTGGTTTTGGTGTTGTGGTCAATAAAGAACGGCCTCCCGTTGGGCGCGTGCCGGACTTCCCAGCCCTTGGGGAGGAATCCTTGCTCCACTTCCGCCAGCTGGGGCACCTGCTGTGCCGAGTCTCCGGGAGGCACCTGCGCCTGGGGGCCGGCGGGCGAGCTCTGGCTTAATGACGGCTGACTGGTCTCCACTGTGGCCTAGTGCACGAATTAAACCATGCTGTAATATTTTACAGAAGACTCACAAATAACTGCGGTTCAAAAGGTGACAGCAGACACTTATACATGGGACCCAAACGTCTGAGGCTTGTTTGCAACTGTAGTTAATTTTCCAGCAACATTTTTGTAGTTATCAAAATTTCTGGAAGTGTTCTGTCAAACCTTGCTTTTGCAGCGATTTATCATTTTTGAGCTAATTCTTCAGCAGTAAGATGGTAGCTGACAGTCAGTCTGTCACAGTGCATCTGACTGAGGAAACCGTGCACCCCTGTTGCCGGGGTGGGGCTGTCCTGTCTACACCAGGAGGTTGTTTGTGCTTTCCCGGGACGCACAGACTGGATCATGCTCCATACACAGAAGTGGGTTCCAGAGTTGGGTAAACAAAATGAATGGCAAATAGCCTCTATAGAAATGGATAATCAAAACATGATACAGTCACATGATGGGACGTTACATTAATCATCAGTTAGCAGAAACATACTAGAACTATTTATAGTGACAGGGATAGGGCTTTAAAACAATTTTGGGCAAAAAAGGATTTAAACTTACACTGCATGACACCCATGCAAAGTGTGAAACACATGGACTTGAGCAACATTTTGCATTGTTTAGCTCTCTGTGTACGTATTTAAAATAGGCTGGGTGAACACACAGTCCCAGGAGGTGGATCCCCTGGGAAACAGGACCAGGGCATGGCTACAAGTTTAGCTTTATCTGCAGGACTTTAATAAAAAAGAAACCATCTTGAAATGAACACGGTGGACGTTTCGGGGTGCTGACTCTACAGGTATTTGCTGCAGTACTCGCTACACTGTTCCTTGTTAAAAAGGCTCAATGAGAAAAGGCTGATGAGATTCAGTGTTTTGTGAAGCATTTACTGGGAAGTACAACCAAATGTGCTCACTTTTGCCAAGGACAAAGCATTAATTTTTAAAAATATTCATCACTGAGATCATTGTCTAGGAAAATAATGATGATAAAGGTTCAAATTACAAAAGCATCCAATGGAGTGGGTCATTTACTGTGTCCTTTTAGTCCCTACTGGACCTGTTTTATGCAATATTATCAGTGGCAATTCATGTGCATGACAGACCCACAGGAAAAGGTAGACACTTAGCATCAATGCCAAAAACTAACTCCAGTCGGCCACTCCCTAAGGATTCAATCAACCATGGATTCAATACATTAAAAAAAAAACCTGATCAGTACTGAACATGTACGGACATTCCTCCTTTGCCCTTAATTGTCCCTTAACAATATATTATGACAATTATTTGCCTAGCATTTACACTGCACTAGGTATTATAAACAATCTAGAGATGATTTAGAGGATGTGCGTAGGTTACATCCAAATGTGCCAGTTATTAAAAGGCACTTGAACATTCATGGATTTCAGTATCCACAGGGCTCCCGGAATCAATCCTTTATCCCTGCCAAGGGTTGATTGCAATTAGAAGGTGCTAGAAGTATCCAGTGTGCACTTCAAATTCTATCAAAAACAAGTTCACAGACTGCAGGCACCTGTACAGTAGGCTTTGTCCAGGTTGTTGTCCTGGAATTGTGATCTACGTAGTATGATCGTCCTCTTTCGTCTTGTTTTTCTTCCCAACCTGGTGGTAGTCCAGATGAAGTAGGCAAAAGCTTAAGTGAAGAATAAAGAACAATGAAATATTCACAAAAATCCTTGAAAGAGTACCACATTCCTTCAGTGCTAGCTCTTTTAGAATGAAGCACATTTTATTTTCCATTACTACAATGGAAAATGGACAAATTATATATGTTTAATTTAGTAAAATAAAACATATTCTAAATCATCTTAGCATGTACAACATAAAGTGTATGCATTTCACTTGGGAAGAAAATAGCATAGATAATAACAGCACTAATAACTAATCTAATAACATCACTAATAAAGCATATGACTAATAAATAATAACATCACTAACAAAGCAGTAACCACCACATCCTAAATGCTTTAACATACCTCATGTCATTCAAGCCCAACACAAAACTTCATGATAATTGCTAAAACTGGCCCATTCTGCTGAGGAGTACACTGAAGCTTAAAAAACGGACACAAGTTGCTAACGTATATTGCATATAATCAATGGAATTAATACGTCCATGCCAAGTCAAAAGCTACCCTTGTCTTGTTTCTATAAGGGTAAGGAAATGCTATGTGTTACAAAGGAGTAAGGAAAGTATCATTATTTCCAGGTTTACTTAAAATAGTCCCAGGTTTGGCCTTCTTTTTGGTACTGATTTTTAAATATTTTTATTTATTTGAAAGAGGAAGGGAGGGGGGGACAGAGTAAGGGGTGTGGGGGGGGTACTCTTCCCTTTGTGTTCACTCTCCAAGTATCTACAACAACAGGGGCTGGGCCAGGCTAAAGCCAGGAGCAAGGAACTTCACTTGGGTCTTCCGTGTGGGTGGCAGGGACTCAAGTACTTGAGCCTTCCAGAGCTTACATCTGTAGGAACCTGGAATCAACAACAGGGCTGGCATTCCAACCAAGCACTGCACGATGGGATGCAGGTGTCCAAAGTGGCATCCTAACCACTGCGCTGAATGCCCGCCCTCTTTTTGTCAGTTGGCTTGTCTCCCCTAAAGTGCCTGACACCATGAAGACCACCACCGCCAGGCTCTTCGCTGGGGCCACTGCTTATGAGGCACATGGCAGCTGTCAGCACCTCACTGACAAACATGATGGAGTGTTAGATGGCACACCATGGAATTCCATGTTGCCCAGGTTCCCACACTTCTTTTAGCAGGCGACTAAATGGAATGCAGTAATATGGGAGGGGGGCTACCAGGGACTACCAAGACGTGCAATAACGTGGATGGATCTGAAAAACATCACGCTGCGTGAGGGGCCAGGCACCCGGGACAGCAGGCTCTGACTCCCTCTGTATGAAACGTCAACTACAGCTGCAGAGAACAGACGCGAGGGGTCTCTTGGGACTGAGAGAAGATGCAGGTACTGAAGCAAGGATGCGGGGTGAGGGGACGGCTTTTAAATTTCACATGTAGTGATGTATGTGTGACAGGATCAAGTTCCAAAACTCAAGAAATCTGTAAAACCAACCAGTGTAGTACGAGAAGGCGGCACGGGAATAGCTTTTACCATACATAAGAAATAAATTTGCCCTAACCGCTGCTGCTCACATGGTATACTTAAAAACTATTTCAAGGGGGCCAGTGTTGTGGCACAGTGAGTTAGCTGCCACCTGCAACACTGGCATCCCCCAAGGGAGCATGGATTCAAGTCCTGGCTATCCTCCCTCTGATCCAGCTTCCTGCTAACATGCCTGGGAAGGCAGCAGATGATGGCCCCAGTGCTTTGGCCCCTGCCACCCATGTGGGAGACCTGGATGGAGTTCCTGGCTCCTCCTGGCTTGCAGCCTGGCCTGACTCTGGTTGTTGTTGCCATTTGGGGAGTGAACCAGTGGATCGAAGATCTCCCTAACTCTCCCTCTGTCTCTACTGCTCTGTCTTTGAAACAAACAAAATACGAATCTCAAAAATGACCCCATTTCTTGGATGAGTGCCGGCCAATCAATGGGAAATGCAACATTTGTGCCGTATGGAGCACATTACAGGTGCAGTGGGAGAAACACCACGATCTCTGCCTAAGCAGCCTCCGGGCTAAGGGAGGAGGCCAGCCAAGTGACACTAAGTCACAGTAAGCTGCCGAGGGCGGTCTCCGGGAGGCACTGGCCCTCTTGGTGGTGGGCAGTGCTGACTGGGCCAGGACTGCACAGGCAGGAACATCCTCCTTCCTCAGCCTAGGACGTGGGTCCCTCTCTTACGGCATGGCTCTCGTTTGGGGACAGGTGAGTGACTGAGTCCTTTGGAGACTTTGAGGTTCTATGTGGGAACTTTGACAAAAGCAGAAACAGAGCCCAATTTTCAAAATTACCAATGACTGGTGAAAAAAAGCAAGGAGGCTATTTGAAGGTGAGAGGCGCCAGTGTGCACTGATTGGAGGGAGGAGAGAATCCGTCCGTGGAAACAGCCTGTTGGTGAGAGGCTCAGATGGGACGAAGGCAGCAGGACGTTTCTGTGGGGAGTTAAGGAAGCAGGGCTGCTCTGGGAGACAGCGTCTGGGAGATGCTTCAAATGCTAGGGTCCCTGCCACCCAGGTGGAGACCCAGATGGAGTTTCAGGCTCCTGGCTTCAGCCTGGCTCACTCCTGGCTGTTTTGGGCACTTGGGGAGTGAACCAGCAGATGGAAGCTCACTCCTCTCTTTCTCTCTCTGTAACTCTTTCAACTAAATAAACTAAAAAATTAAAAAAAATTTTTTTAACGAAAGAAGGGTGAGTTGAAAAGCCTGGAAGTTTTAATTTGATTTAAGAAAAAATAGGGATGATGTAAGTGAGAGGTAAACTCGGAGAAATGAGATGTGACTGAGGTTAAGAGGATGGCCACTGGAGACCAAAAGGGAATCAACAGTCCAGGTATGAAGTTCTTTTTATCTGTTTATGTTTTTTAAAGGCAGAGTGATGGTGCGGGGGAGAGACAGTTTCCATCTACTGGCTCACTCCCTAAATGGTCTCAACTGCTGGGGTTTGGCCAGGCTGAAGCCAGGAGGCAGAAACTCCGTATCTGGGTCTTCCAGCTCAGTGGCAGGAACTCAACTGCTTGAGCCAAAGGCAACTACTTCCCAGGTCCATGAGCAGGGAGCTGGATTGGAAGTGAAGTGCTGGGACGTGACCCAGCACTCTGATATGGGATGTGAGGACCTCAAGTGCTGGCCTAATGTGCTGTGCTACAATGCCGGCCCCTTCAACATCTGTTCTAAAGGTCCAGGCTGCGTCAGGGCGGGGCTAAGCATACCACTGAGGAGGAGGGAGAAGACCCCCCCAGCCAGCACAGAGCTTCAGGCGACAAGCCCAGGTCTCACCCACAGCACTGGCACTTGACTTCAGTGTTGCTTTTTTAATTTTAAAAATTTGAGTGAAGAGAGAGAAAGAAAATAGAAAGAAAGAGAGGAGAGGACACCAACAGCCAAATACACACACAGAATTCCCATCCACTGGTTCACTTCCCAGATGCTCTCAATTAGCCAAGACCTGGCCACTGGAAACACAGAGCTGGGAAATCAATTTGGGATCTCCCTGTGGGTGGCAGGCATCCAACTTCCTGAGTCATCACAGCTAATCTCTGGGGTCCACCTTGGCAGGAACCTGGAATTGGGAGCAGAGCTGAGACTTGAACCCGGGCACTCCCATGGGGGTCGTAGGCATCCTAATGCATTGTCACTGCTCGGCCAAGCACCACCTCAGTCGCTGACTTTAGTTTACCGACCGGCGGTGGGGGCAGAGGATACTCACCACAGGAAGCGTAGGCTGTTCCTCAAAAGTGTAGGCTTGTAAGCTGCCTCTTCTGCTGGAATGATTCTTGTGAAACAGAAACAAAGCAAGGACACTTAGATCCTGGTTTGGCAATGGCACCTTGCAAGTGAAGGAGCCAGGCGAGGATGCGCAGCCCCTAAGCCACGCCCGGCCCTGCGCCAATGCCTCTCCACGTCTACCCCAGGGCCGCGCTGCCTCCCCGAACCCTGCCTGGCATGTCTAACACACACCCCCTCCACTAAGGATCCAAAACGGGATTCCTCACGTCGGCAGCCAGGGCCCGTGCAGTCTCCTGCAGGAGCGCTAAGTCCCCCTCCATTTCAGCTCAAGTCGGGTTTTTTTTTTCTTTCAAGTTTTCATCCTTTGTCACCTTGAGCATTATGGCACCAGGGTCCTTGAAGGCCTCCCGGTTTCAAGTTTTCCTTCCTCCAGTGCATTCTCCATACCGCAGGCTGCGGCCAGAGCACGCGTTCGGCCGCGTGGATGCGACCCGTCATTCCTAGGAGTGCCGGCTGCCCCTGGCCGCCGCCAGCAGCCGCCATGACGAAATCCCAGCCCACAACTCAGTGTTCCAGCAGAGCCGGCCTCTTCCTTGCCTCAGCCTCACCACCTGCGCCCTAAGCATTCCCGGAATGGAATTCCTGTCTTTCTTTCCTTGGCTGTTGTTACTCTCTGAAATATCCGGTTTTTTAATGATGTCAACCTTTATAATAGTAAAGAACTGTAAATAATCTATCACACAGGAAAGGGTGAAATACCTTAAGGATTACCTGGACAATGGAACATGCCAGAGTTTGAGGACTGTTTTGGTTGGTTTTAAATGGAGTACATCTCTATTTACTGAAATGGTTCGATGTCTAAGACATGGCAAGTGAAAAAAGCAAGTTATCTAGAACCAGGCACAAGATGATCTTTGGGGTAAAAAATTATATTGAGTCGATGGAAACATCTTTGTGTCTGTCTGTCTCTACCTTTCAGATAAATTAAAAATTTTCTAAAAAGTTTGCTTAGTCTTCTCTCTCTCTCTGTAACTCTACCTATCGAATAAAATAAGCAAAATCTTTTCTTTAAAAAAAAATTGGGGCTAGTGCCACGGCATAGCAGAAAAAGCTGCCATCTGTGATGTTGACATCCCATAAGGGCACCGGTTCGAGTCCTGGCTGCTCCATTTTTGATTCAGCTCTCTGCTATGGCCTGGGAAAGCAGCAGAAGATGGTGCAAGAGCTTGGGCCCTTACACCCAAGGGGAGACTCGGATGAAGCCCCTGGGGTCCTAGCTTTGGTCTGACCCAGCTCTGTTCATTATGGCCATTAAGGGAGTGAACCAGCAGATGGAAGACACCTCTCTCTCTCTCTGAAACTCTATCAAATAAAATATCTAAAATATTTTTAAAAGTTTGTAACCCCCTTTTTGATTCTATCAGCTAGTATTACTAGCTGATAGTATTACTAGCTGATAGAATCAAAAAGGGAGAGAACGATCCATCATGGGAAGCGGGATACACAGTAGACTCATAGAATGGCAGATGTCCTAAATAGCACTCTGGCCTCAGAATCAGCCCTTAAGGCATTTAGATATGGCTGAAGAGCCCATGAGAGTATTTTAGGCATGGAAAGCCAAGACACCCTAGAAAAAAAAAAATAAGACCTAAATGGAAGATCTCTGCGAGTGAGATCCCAGTGGAAAGAACGGGGCCATCAAAGAAGGAGGTACCTTTCTCTGAAGGGAGGAGAGAACTTCCACTTTGACTATGACCCTGTCTGAATAAGATCGAAGTCAGCGAACTCAAAAGGCTTCCATAGCCTTGGCAACTCATGCCTAGAGCCTAGGGAGATTACTGATGCCATAAACAAGAGTGTCAAATTGTTAAGTCAACAACAGGAGTCACTGTGTACTTACTTCTCATGTGGGATCTGTCCTTAATGTGTTGCCCAATGTGAAATAATGCTATAACTGGTACTGAAACAGTAGTTTACACTTTGTGTTTCTGTGTGGGTGCAAACTGATGAAATCTTTACTTAATATATACTGAATTGATCTTCTGTATATAAAGATAATTGAAAATGAATCTTGATGTGAATGGAATGGGAGAGGGAGCGGGAGATGGGAGGGATGTGAGTGGGAGGGAAATTATGGGGGGGAAGCCATTGTAATCCATTAACTGTACTTTGAAAATTTATATTTACTAAATAAAAAATAAATAAAAAATAATAAAAAAAGAAAAAAAGTTTGTAAAACCCATATTATTTTTAAATTTTTATTTGAAAGGCAGAGTAACAGGGAATGAGACAGACAGATTTTGGTCTGACAGTTCACTTCCCAAATGCCCGAAACAGCTGTGCTGGGCCAGGAAAAAGCCAGGAGCCAGGAATCCACCCAGGTTATCCCACGACAGTGGCAAGGACTCAAGAGCTTGGGCCATCATCTACTGCCACCCAGGAAACATTAGAGGAAAGCTGGATTGGAAGGAGAGGTGGAGGCAGGATTCAGTCCTAGATGCTCTACAGAATGTAGGCATCCCAAGCTGGGCTATAACACCTGCCCCCCAACTTTTTGAAATACTATCTTATTTGCTGAGGGCCATCTGGTCAACACTGACAATACAGTGTGAAAGCCAGCCACAGGCAACACTAAAGTAAATGGACACAGCTGTATCGCAAGGAAACTTCATTTATGGTAATATGCTGTTGTTTTGGCCCGAAGGCTGTGGACTGCTGACCCCTGCACTAAAGTTCCGTGAGGGCAGGGTACTTTGCTTTATTTAACTCAGTATCCCCAGTAACTAGCACATAGTATCTTGCATATTTGGTCGGCCCTCTGTAAATACTTATGAATTAAGTCAGACAAGGAACCCAGAGAATCAACCACAGTGTGCTCAGAAAATATTTGTCTTCTACTGAGTCTCCTTTGATAACAGATTAACAGAGATTAAAGAATTAGGCACAAAGATCTCATCATGGCAGTGATGCTGTGATACCTGTTTCTGGACCCTGCAGATAACAACTTTTATAGGGGTTGCTGGACTGAAGAATGTCCTCTCTCCCCTTGTGTGGTCAGAATAATCACCAACAATTGACACATGTGTTTGGCAGCGTCTGTGATAGAATTGTAAACTTCATGATAGGTGAGAAAGACATGCAGGAGCTGGCCTGGCACTGTCTGGTAGGATGAAGACAAGATCAAGACAATTCCATAATAAGTCTGAACACAGACAGAACAGGAGCACTGCCAAAGCCACCAAACACCAAATATCAGCCTTTCCTGGAGAACATGAGGATTGTTCTTTATCAATCATAGCCTTAGCGTCACAACAGGTAAGATCTGAGATACACTATTGTGGGTTAAGTAGGACTTGTCTCTCTAAAATTTATGCAGACTGTTTAAACTGATGTTGCCTACCATTGAATTATTACAGAACATCGGGGAAACCCTGCAGGACATTGGCATAGGCAAAGAGTTCTCAGAAAAGAGCCCAGAGGCACAAGCAATCAAAGCCAAAATTGACAAATGGGATTATGTCAAATTGTGAAGTTTCTGCACTGCACAACACTCACCAAAGTGAAGAGGCAACCAATAGAATGGGAGAAATTATTTGCAAAGTATGCAACTGATAAAGAATTAATAACCAGAATTTATAAAAAGATCAAGAAACTAAACAACAAAACAGACAACCCAGTTAAGAAATGGGCAAAAGACTTAAACAGGCATTTTTCAAAAGAGGAAATCCAAATGCCCAAAAGACACATGAAAAAAACGTTCAGGATCCCTAGCCATCAGGGAAATGCAAATCAAAACTATAATGAGGTTTCACCTCACCTCCATTAGAATGGCTATCATACAGAAATCAACAAACAGCAAGTGCTGGCGAGGATGTGGGGAAAAAGGAACCCTAATCCACAGTTGGTGGGTACAGCCACTATGGATGACAGTACGGAGACACTTCAGAAATCTGAATACAGACCTACTATATGACCCAGGCATTCCACTCCTGAGAATTTACCCAAGGGAAATGAAATCAGCATATGAAAGAATTATCTGCACCTCCATGTTTACTGCAGCTCAATTCACGATACTGAAGATATGGAATCAACCCAAATTCATCAAATGAATACTTTATAAAGAAATTATGGGATATGTACACTATGGAATACTACACAGTGGTAAAAAAAAATGAGATCCTGTCATTTGCAACAAAATGGATGAAACAGGAAAACAATATACCTAGTGAAATAAGCTAGACCCAAAGGGACAAATACCATATGTTCTCCCTGATCTGTGATAACTAATAGAGCACCTAAAAGGTTATCTATAGAAGTGAAATTAACACTTTGAGATGCAATGACTTTGAATAGCTCTTGTCTTGACTGTTGAGGAACAGTTTTTCAGTTTTTTTTCATGCAATTTGTTGAACTCTTTACTTAATATAGAGTTAATCATATGTACATAAAGTTAACTGAAAATAGATCTTAGTAAAAAATAAGAAAGGGAACAGGAGAGGGAGGAGTAAGAAGGGTGGGAGTGTAGGTATGGTGGGAAGACTCAATATATTCCTAAAGTTGTATTTATGAAATGAAGTTTGTATTCCTTAAATAAAAGGTTTCAGGGGGAAATAAAAAATTAAAAAAATATAAAAACCTGATGTTGTCATGTCAATGCCTAATGGATGAAGGGTGGAGCCTTGATCTAATTATGGCATCTAAGAGGCAGGTCTGGTGGGAGGGGTTTAGGTCACTGGGGGCATACCCTTGCAGGATGGTTCTCACAAGAGGGTTGGTTATTATTATTTTTCTTATTATTAATCTTTAAAGATTTTCTTTATTTGAAAGGCAAAGTTATAGAGAAAGAAGGAGAAACAGAGAGATGAAGAGATAGACAAAGAGATCTTCCATCTGCTGGTTCACTTCCCAAATGGCTGCAATAGCCAGGACTGGGCCAGGCAGAAGCCAGGAGCCAGAAGCTTCTTCTGGGTCTCCCACATGGGTAGAGGGGCCCAAGCACTTGGACCATCCTTCACTGCTTTCCCAGGCCATAGCAGAGAGGTGGAGCAACTGGGACTGGAACGGGCCCCCACATGGGATGCTGGCATTGTAGGCAATGGCTTTACCCAGCATGCCACAACTTCAGCCCTGGGTTGTTTAATAATTCTAAGTTCAAGTTTCGGCCTGGCTTCTCTCTCTGCTTCCTGGCTCACCCTGTAATCATTTCTCCATATCTGCCATGTCCAATCTCCATCAGACTCCAGGCTACAGAGCTTCCCGATCCTGAACCGTAACCTTAACTGTAAGCTGAAATCAACCGTTTCTTTCCCAAGAAGCTCCTCGAGTATTTTAGTTAAAGTAACGAAATGTAGACTAATATACAAACAATCACAGAATTCCTCCTGCTTCCTGACAGCAACCAATGTACAACAAAGTCCCACCTGTGTAAACTCTCCTCAAAACCACATGTGTAGACCCAAATCCTCCAAGTCTTTTCTCGCACGCTCTTGCCAAAACGCTGATGGCTGTGTGTTCCTCCTTGAACCCAACTTGTTCATTTACAAGTGTGCTCCTGGTGGGTTTTGGCCAGAGGGCATTGCCATAGCGAACATGTAGACCCCAGTGACAATCTGGACTACCCATGGCTCTGTTTCATACTATTAGTGGGGATATTTGTAAAATGATCATGCTGTAAAGTTTCCAAATCTCTCACCTATTAAAATGTACCACTTAAAATGTCAGGTAAAAGGTGTTGAGCAGAATCATACGTGTACTACAAAATGCTGAAGTTACAACAGAATCTAAGAGCATCTTACTGAGCTGGATCCCGGCTGGCTAGTGGCTGAATTTCCAGAGACAGCAAGTCTGGCATTCAGTTCGTCCGCAAGATGAGTCTGAACATCCGCGCTCCTGGATGGTGCAGGCGACAGGAAGGCCTGACTGCCGCACACGGCGGCTTCATCCTCTCTTATAATTTCCCAGTTCTAAAACGAACAGAAGACGACTGAGCCACACATACTTAACGGCCAGAACACGAGCCCATCACCCAGAACAAGAAAACGCGTATACCTCGGAAGAGTCTCGGTTCTCAGGACTTTCTGTTTCCTCGGATATCTGCCTCCTGGTGGTGAACGCACGCTGGGCTTGCAGCTGCATGTCACCATTCTCAGCATCTGTTAGGCTGTCCCTATTTGAGAACCATAAAAAGCCATCAGCTATGTGCTAAGAAAGTTCAAGTGATAGGCACAGATTCTGTGATCATTTAAAAAAACACCAGTATCAGATTAAAATGTACTGTTTTTGGCCAAAGGCTATTTCCACATGCACAAATTAATTCACAGCTATACTGGTACCTCCTGAGAACCTCATGGAATTAAAGATTTTGTGAAAATGCATAACACATCTGACTTTGATATTTTAGTACATCAGTGTGTCTAAAATTATGTCTGGCACATTTGGGTACTCATAAGGCATTTGTTGAATAAACAACATGTTTCACAAAAAAGAAATCTGAAATAGCTCTAGAGGTACATACACATCTTCATGAATCAAAAAGTAGATTTTCTAGAACAGGTCTTAAGCCAGGAGTAGGGTTCTGCATGCAAGAATGCAGAAGGCAGAGTGAAAGAGTCAGTCTAAGGGCTCTGTAATAAAAACCTTCGTAAATTAGGGGTTAACTGGTTATCTGGTTTTGGTCATTTATAGTCATTCAGATCAATAAAAAAAGAACAATAATGAAGGCTTAAGAAACATATGACAAATTAGACTGAACACCTTTATGTAGTCATTTATAACTTTTCTCATTCTAGTTAGTTGTATTTAATATAATTAGACTGTCAGGTAAAAATTAAAAAAATATTTAATAACAAAAGTACTGCTATATACCATACAAGGCCATGATAATCAGAGGACCAGTTCTTAATGTACCGTAGCTGGAGAAAACAGAATTGGGGCAGATGGTTCTAAGGGAAAATGCTTCAGGGATTTTTCCCTAAGTATTCGATTTTGGCTACCTGAAAACAACACCAGCCACAGTGAAAGAAATGATTCTGCTAAAAGTTGGGCAGACCACAAAACTGAGGTATGCAATAGAGCAACTCTGCAGAATTTTCTGGTATCTTCAGTTTTGCAATCTGTGTGTCATTCTATAGTGCTCAATGCCTCCGTGGCCATGAAGGACTCGGACTGCTGATTTGCTTTGGAAAAATTTGCAAATGGAAAATATCAATGAAAGTTCTTGGCATGTATCAGATACAAAACATCAAAGCCACAAATGAGGAGGTTGCTGGACACCTAAGAAAAATTTCAAGTCTGTCAAACAGAAGACCAAAGAAAGACTGCATCAGGCTATATGGAAGAAGTGGAAGAGAGTTTGACAATAAATATGAATAATGGGAGAACTTATCAATTTACTCTGATGACAGTAAAAGAAAAATGTCACTGAGGAGATGTAAGTTGAGAATTTGTTGAAGGTAATTCTCTCTTTGATTTGTGCACATTGGAAATTACAGGTACCCTCACCAGAGCGGCAAAGGGGTGCTGAACATGAGACCTTTATTACCAAGTCCTTTGTAGTTTACAAATAATCTCTATTTTAAAAATAGGGTCCTGCAGAAAGTAACATTTTATCATATAACAAACTGCATACAATTTTAAAGGTTTAAAAAATAAATTAGAAAAACATACCATTTGGGATTGCACAATAATAAACAATTTATTAAAAGTAAGAAGCAATGATAAGAGTAGTACCTGTGATTCAAATAATTTGAATACTATCAAAAAAAAAAAAAAGAAACAGCTGAGGTCACATTTTTTTAAGTCCTAGGCCCCAAATTCCTGGTATACCTATACAATATATAGATCAATCCCTACACTATTAGGAATCCATTTGAGATATGACTTCAAAATGAAAACTAGCAGTTAAGATGGATCCAGATTCCAGGTACGAACGGCATCAGCACTTACTGAGGGGTTGGTCGCTTCCACTGTGTCCTTCTAGATTCATGGTTTACATAGTAGGTCCTTCCCAGGATATCCTGCCTCTCTTCCCATCCTGGAGGCAGAGGGGAAGGCTCCTGTTGCTGTTGCAAATGGCAAGCAGCATCTGGTTGGTCCAAAACAACCCAGCCAGGCTGCCAAACAGAAGAGAAACAGTTAGGTCTGCGCTGACTTCTCCGTGTAGAGAGATTTGGCATATTCAGTTCCGGAAGAGGCAGAGACAGAGTCAGTACACGGTCAACTTTTAAGATGATTCTATGAATACAAACATGGAAGCTCAAAATTTAAATACAAACTTTATGATAATGAAGACTTAGTGGGACAGATATTGTTTAAAACATCTTAAATTTGTTCAAAGAAGTTTTAATGGGTCTCTAATAAGTAAAAACGACCACAAACCTATTAAATAAGGATGTAACTCAGAAAGCACTGAGAAATCAAGAAACACAGTTTAAATTAGTGTCGCTTTAGGCTTTGCTCTAAATTATAAGCAAGTGAATAAAGGACAGGACTCTGGTTATTCTTCTTCTGTAGCTGTCCCTACCACAGGGAAAATACCTCGCTTACAGGAGCAACTAGTAATTATTAAAAAAATCATTAGATAAAGGCTAATTATATAGAGGCATGATAAAAATGGGCAAGTGATTTAGAAGTAATTGCTTCAGGGAATTCTCTAGTGACTGAAAAGTCATGATTCTTTTGTCGGATTTTTCTCTTTCTCCTCTGGACCAAGAGAAGGTATTTTGGTCAGGTCATAAAATAGTCAAAGAAAGATTTTAAAAAATGCACTGGAAGTTTGCTTTCTTAGAAACTAGAAAGAGGCAAAATATGCGTGAAGCCTTAGGTAGCCTAAAATAAGGAGGTAAGTGAATAAGGAGGGCAGCGAGAGTTAGAACAAGCTTCTATATGAGAAACCTCTTAATAGAAAAGGTAGTAGTTAGGAGGCCCCACTAAATACCCAGATGGTTAGGAAAGCATTAGTGAAGAAAACTTTAAAATGCTCCTAAAAGAAATAAAAGAAGACTTGAAGGAATGTACAATATGATCTTGGCTGGGAAAACTCAACCTCACAGAGGTGTCAATTCTTCCCAAGTTAATCCATAAATTTGCCAAGATTCTGATAAAGTTACATTAGGGGTGTCTTAAAACAATGAAACAAGCCAATCCTCAAGTTCAACCAGAAACACAAACAAGGAAGAACTACCAGCACAAATCTAAAAAAGAAGAGCAGAGGGAGGTTAGTCTTGATAAATAAAACACAGGAAGCCACAATAATTAATGTCGTGTGGCACTGACGCATGCACAGGCAGACAGCTCAGCAGAATGGATTTGACAGAAAGAGAGCGAAATACAAAGTATCGGTATACAATACAGGCACCGCAAATTTGTAGGAAAATAGGCAGATGACTTTGAAAATGGGCAGCCACTTGGAAAAAAAATTAATTTGGATCCCTACCTCACTGCTCACATCAGGATAAATTACAGACTGAGTAATATTTAAGTGTTTAATGTTTAAGTACCCTCTTCTCCATATTAGAACCTTAGGAAATTTAAAAAATATATTCTAAGAGTGGTAAGCTGTTAAGTATGAGATCAAATCCTGAGGGTCTAAGAGAAGACCCATACATTTAACTAGAAAATCACCAAATCTGAATGTGGCAAAACCACAAAGTCAAAGTTAAAAAAAAAAAAGATGAATTAGGAAACATTTGTGGTATTAGGAGAATAGGTAAAGAATAATTTCTTTACTATTTCCGGGATTTCTGTTCCAGACACAGATTCTGTTAAGGGAATGACTGTGGGTGCCACACAGCCAATGGCTTGGAAGAGAGAAGAGAATGTTTTTGTGTTGGAGACTGGACCTGAACAGGAGTCAGGGAGAGGAATTATAAATGAAAGGAATGGTTTTTGGCAGCAGGGAGAAAAGGCTGATCCGTTCAGGCTGGTTCTGGTGGGAGATTATAGACTGAGGAAGAACAGCAGGTGAGGGGAAGAAGAGAAAGCAGAGAGAAGGGTTTTTTGGGAGAGATCCTGATCAGAAATAAAATTGGCTTCCATTCTATCTTAGCACTTGTTATATTTTTACTTCTATTAGGAACTGACATCTCCTTAATTTTTTATTACCCAAATTCCATCCCCTTCTGTTCCTCTAATCTCTTGGTTTCTCCATCTATATTATCTTTCTTCTCTCTCCTTTCCTTTCCTTTAAATGATCATAGTACCAGATATAGCATTAAGTAAAAGTTAGTCTTCCATAGGTTCAATCATTTTATTTTTCTGGTCCCTTTCAAAGGCTAATGAGTTAAGTTTTTATATTTTACTCTTTTGAAAAAAGTGATTAAAAGATTTGTCTGCTGAATACTGTCACTGGTTATTTTCCTGAAAAAGTAATTAAGTTTATGAATAAAAGGCCATCTCACTACTACTGTAAAGGATTATAAAAATATTCAGAGCTAGGAAAATGGTACCAAAGAATATATCTTTAAAAACTGAGTTTTCTCTTAAGGATATTTTTATAATGCCTTCTTGTTATTAAATTTGAGAAGAGAAAGAAAATATTAATTTAATTAAGGGTCTTTTAAAAAATCCCATTTTTAGTTTGAGGAAGTACAGTTGAACATTCAAACAGGGTTTAGAAAGACTGAGTTTTCAATTTTTCAGGATAGAATGCTTCCTATTAAACATGTATTAGTCACTATTCTTCATAAAATAATAGTCCTAGAATCAATGAACCTTCATTACTGACCTCAAAGCTAATATACAATTACCCACAATTTAACAGTCGAATGGTGTTAGAAAGAAAACATTTAGAGTTCTGACACATACTGTTAATCTTTAAAACACATACTGCTAACTCTAAAGTTGCAAAGGCACAAAAACCAAATGTTACATAACTGCTATAGCCACACTCCACTACGGTATACAAACTGCCCAGGAGTGAGCCTCTATTCAAAATGCCAATTGTTTTCTTTAAATAGTAGAATTGTATGTATTCAGTCCCAAACTACATGTCAAAGAACCAGGCAAGGCTTCTCTGGTCATCAGCTACACAGAAGATAAATAAGCACAGATCCACGTGTTTGAATTCCTAGGGCCTTTCATAAATAAACTCCTACAGGCTTACATCTCCTGAAATTATAAGGTGCATTCCGAGGGAATCCAAACATTGAGACGTGAGACCACAGACTGAAGCTAAGCAGCTCTCCCCACAGAGCTGAACTGTGAATGAGCTACCTGTGATATCTGTGTGTGTGGGAAAAACTTGGAGCAGGCCACTAAGTAATGAAACACTGTTAATTTTTTAAGTTACTAAATAAAGGGTTTTCTTTCTTTCCAGCAGCCATCCTTCATTTCAGACACAAGTTCCATTATGCAAGACACCCTGTGCATCAAAAGGCCAGGTAGAGCAGCCTCTACCCAACAGACGCATTCACAACTTTAAAAATGGTCATTTTAGGAAAAATCAGAGAAAAAGTTAAGAAAAACATGTAATCAAATACGTGAATACAGACTTAGCATAACTAGTTCTTTGTCAAATTAGAGGTTATCAGGGGATTCCAATTCAATCCCATCAAGGTGGCATGTACCAATGCCATCTCACTAGTCCCAGTGATCAATTTCTGTCCACAATTGATCATAATGATAGGACTAAGAGCAAAAGGGATCACATAAACAAGAATAGTGTCTGCAAATACTAGCTGATAGAATAAAAAAGGGAGAGAACGATCCAACATGGGAAGCCAGATACACAGCAGACCCATAGAATGGCAGATGTCCTAAACAGCACTCTGGCCTCAGAATCAGCCCTTAAGGCATGCGGATCAGGCTGAAAAGCCCATGAGAGTATTTCAGGCATGGAAAGCCAAGACACTCTGGAAAAAACAAACAAACAAACAAACCTAAATGAAAGATCTCTGGGGGTGAGATCCCAGTGGAAAGAACAGGTCTTCAAAGAAGGAGGTACCTTTCTCTGAAGGGAGGAGAGAACCTCCACTTTGACTATGACCTTGTCTAAACAAGATAAGAGTCGGAGAACTCAAGGGGCTTCCATAGCCTTGGAAACTCATGACTGGAGCATAGGGAGATTACTGATGCCATAAACAGGAGTGTCAATTTGTAAAGTCAACAACAGGAGTCACTGTGCACTTACTCCTCATGTAGGATCTCTGTCCTTAATGTGCTGTACATTGAGACTTAATGCTATAACGAGTACTCAAACAGTATATTTCACTTTGTGTTTCTATGGGGGTGCAAACTGTTGAAATCTTTACTTAATGTATACTAAACTGATCATCTGTAAAAAAAAAAAGAAGAAGAAGAAGAAATTATCAATTCCCAACTTGACTCTCACTGGGATTAAACATGACAATAGGTCTGATCTGATTTCATCATCATTTAAAGAATCATCTATTATTTTCACTTT